CTTTGTGGCTCTCCTCTGGATTTGCTCCAACAGATTCATGTCTTGTTTGTGTCAGGGACCCCAGAGCTGGACACAGCACTCCAGATGGGATCTCACAGAGTGGAGCAGAGGAGCAGAATCCCCTCCCTTTCCCTGTTGGTCATACTGCATTTGATGCAGCCTAGGATATGCTTTGCTTTCTGGGATGGAAACTCACATTCCTGGTTCATGACCAGTTTTTCAGCCAGGCAAACTTTTTCCTGGAGGACTTAAAAAAAAAAAATTGAGTGAATTTTTATGCATGATAAAAATGTATGGGGAAAATCAGTTTTTCATAACTAAAATACTGATAATTTTTAGTCAAAATCAGGACATAGGTTTTGATGAGATTTAAAAATTAAAAGTAAAGACAAAATGTGAGAGCTCTTCATTTCAAAACAGGTGCATTTGAAAAACAGAGACATTGAAAGTGAAACTTTTCTTGTTTTCTTAGATTGGTCAGAACAACTGAGAAGCTTGTCTTTGTATGGAAACAAAGATTTATTTATTTTTAAATAGCTGCTAAAATAAAAAGCAAAAAAGCAAAAGCCAAAAAAGAGTAATACTTACTACCCTTATAAACTGGCATCCTATACGTTATAGTGAAATCACAACTGTTGAATCTCCCATTTCTTGGGAGGACATGCTGAGAGTGAAAAATATGCTTAGACACTGTCTACCCTACATGAAATTGGAAAGCAAAACATAAAAGGAAACCAGAAAACAGGGCATGAGAGATGATGTAACATCCAGCTTCTCTGCCAATGAACTCAAGGGTGAACTCTTTTACCTTTGAGGGAAGATATACTTACTGACAGCAATCCCACCAGAGTGACTTCCAGCATGTGGAGGACCCAGCCATAACCAGACTGCCCAAGTCTCTAGGACAAACTGATATCTACTTGGTATAATCCAGTTAGTTTCCAACCTCAGCAAAAGCTTTCCTGAAATATAGTAACTCCCATTGAGACACTGGAGGCTTGTGCCACTTTTGGTTGATGCCCAAATTCAGTACGAAGAAAATGCTAATGCCAACAGCTCTTCAGGTTGGTGATAGTGCTTTGGGTTTCCTTCTTCCTTTTCTACACGTACTAAAGACATTTCTTGTGTTTCCAGTAAGATACCCTTGTATGAAACACACTTTTGTAGGTGCTCAGGTAGTTCACCCAAATTCCCCAGGGCAGATATGCAAGTCAGGTAAAAGTATGAAACCAGTAAGGGTACTGGAATAGCCATCTGAGACACAAACCTGTGGAAGGGGGATAAAGTGCCACTGCCCATCCACTTAGCTCACTGGTGGGTTAATAACTTCATGCTTAGAGGTTCTTCATTGAGAACAGTGGGCAACAGCTGCTAATGGGGTCTGACACCAGCACCCTTGGGATGAAGAGAAAGGTTAATTGAATTCTAGTGAGGCTCCCTTTGCGTTTCAGAGCAATTGAACAAACCAGGGCAGCCAACTTCCCAGCATCAGCCTATGCATTGTGGCAAGTTCATCTGTGGTGTGACTAAATTGCTTTCAATAGCAGGAGTGAATTCAGCCTCTGAAAGCTAGATTCAGGGAGACTGAGATAATCCTATTGGAAATTTTGATTGACAACTCGGGCCCATGTTTGTTTTCGCTTGCGGAAACATTGCAGAAGGAATTTTGGATGGGAGGTTGCTTGCTGGTCCTCCAAATGTACTCTTACAACAGTGCAAACTCTTCTACTTCAGTTATTCATGGACACTCTAATCTGCATGGGCATCTTGTGAATAAAAGAAGAGAACAAAATAGATTATTCTCACAAAGTTATTTGCTTTCTCTTGGCATTTAATCTTCTTTGGCTTCTCAGAAGCTGGAATACTGGAATGCAGACAATACTGAATGTAATGTTATTTTGAAGATGTTTAAGCCTGATTGCTCCACATTAGTTAAAACAAAGATGGTATTTTCAAGCTGTAAAAGCATACTTTATGTTTTCAGTTCTTAATTCAGTTTGATGTCCTCCAAAAGCAAATGGTTTCAGGTTATTAATTTCTTCATTAAAAAAGTGATTGTCTGGAATCTGACCTGACTTTGGAATGATATTGACATACGTCTTTGCCATGTGTTCTCAGACTTCCCACAAGCAGGTTTTTATTTTAGCACTGAAAATATGCACTACACTTTATGTCCAATAAAGCCATGAACACTTTAACAGCTTGCTTCCTGTGAAACAGATCTTTATTAGTGGATGAAAAGAAGCCTTTCTTCAGTTATATGGGATAACTCTGCAGTTAGTACTATTTCCCCAGCAATTTCTTGTTTACCTTTGCTTAGGATCTATTCCTGTTTGAACTTCTCTCTAAGGCAGTCTGGATTGACTCTGACTTCCTGACACACTATTTCGTCTTTGTGTCTCTCCATTGTTGGTGTAAGCTCTTTGAACTCCAGTTATCCTTCAGCTGTCTTCTCTGCTTCTTCACAGTCATGTGCAAATGTGTATTGGTTTCTCTGCTCCAGAATAGGACCTTCCTTAGTTATGTTGGCAATGCTGTGCTAGGGAGGTTTTTACCTTAAACTGGTTGCTTGTGTGCCTGTGTATATATTGTTTATGTATCTTTGTAACTTCATTCACTTCCTGTATCTGCAAATGTAAAATGGCACACACATATACACACACACACACACACACACACATAAACTCACACATACTCACACCCAGGTTCTGAAGCAAAAAAAAGTGGGTTAAATAAAAATAAATAGTGAACAGTCCTATTTAGTCAAATTTTTTTGACTGAGACCCCTTGTGGCAGTACTGATGAGGTCAGTTGCTGGAGTGAAAAAAACAAAGACCCTCAATTGCAAGAGTTTGAAAGCACCCCTACATAATCCTGTACAAACCACAGAGATTGTAAATATGCAGCATTATCATGGATAATGCTGCATATAGCATGGAGCCACATATAGCCAGTGCAGTTACAATGAAAACCAGAGGGAGGAATATTGCTTAAAGCAACTCACTTTTATTGACAATGTACTGTAAGGCAAGGAAAAATGTTTGCCAGATTTTTTAAAAAGGCTTGCAGCGAGAGTGATCTGCAGTTCAATGTATTATTGAACTGTCAAAGATACTCTCTTTTATAAATCCAATATTTATCTTTTTGTTATATGTACAAAAGCTCAACTTAAACAAGCACAAAACAGAACAAAGTAATGGATTTGCATATGAAGTTTTGTTGATGGTTCATGATCTAGTAAACAAGAGAATGCACATATTCTTTTACTATAGAGTTACAGTTGACTAGATTTAAACTTAAATATACCCCAAAACACATAACCCCCCCCAAAATACAGATGTGTTCAATATGACTATTTTAGAAAAAAAAATCAAAATAGTGTTCAACCATACTCTGGGAAAAAACATTTACAGATGCCAAGAAAGCTGTATTTGATGGCCAAAACTAATTTTGCATTTTTGGTGAAGGCATCTGTGTGTTTTCACTGTTGTATTCTGACCACTTTAAATTAATATCTCAGCCAGAAAAATTTGCAGAACACTGGCTTTTGTCTGCTTTTGAAAGGATATCTTTTTGAAGTGATGTAAATAAACTGTGAGCCTCTTACAAGATCTCACATTAGGCCATGTTAGAACAAACTATCATTTCCATAGGAAACAATGGTAACAGAAAGGTCCCAGCTATGCTATAAAACCTAGTCAGGGGCCAAGCAACAAAATCTGCAACCTCTTAGTTCTTCCCTGAGGGAAGGGCACAATTTTACCCCACATTCTTTTGACAGCCTTAGTTTCTGAAACTAGCAAACACAGTTGTGTTTTGTGGCTTTCCTTCTCCACCTCCATATCCGTATAGCACTGGCCTTTCACTGGAAAAGCTTTCATGAAAACGACAGCTGCTTTTTCACCAGCGATAATGTAGCACTATTGGTGGCCCATAAAACAAATGAAGGCTAACATGTCAAATATGATGTGTTGGGATAAAAGGGACAAAGGTACTTAGCCACAGCACAGTGCCATGCCTTACCACTGCAGGCCTGTAGCATGAGCAGTAACATGGGTAAGTAAAATTCTACCTATACAGGCAAAACTGAATGTATTTTCAAAGACATACAATACTATTTTGTAATTAGAATCCCCAACATGCTAATTTTTATCACAGACAAGAAGAAAATCTTACGACCATGAAAAAAATGGGACCCAATTAAAAGAAGAATAACGACACCACACATATGTAATTAGTATATGCTGAAAACGAAGCATAAACTCATGTTTTTCATGTGAAAGTCTTCTGCTGGATGCTTAAATGCACAGTTTTTAATGTATTTTTTCCTCCCTCCCCCCATTTTCTCTATGAAAATCAAGCTCTTTGCATAATTAACCAAACCTCAAAGATATTTACATTTTAAAAGCCAATCCTTCACCTTCTGATTTTAAAATGAGTAAGCCTGTATCTTGCATATTTTACAAAAAGATCCAGAGAAAGCTTAGAATCATTATTCAGTATCTGTACTTGGTAAAATACTTCCCTTGAACATGAAGTCAGTGCTGACCTCTTCAGGTTATTTGTGAATAATAAAATTTTTCTAAAGACATGTTACTAAGTAAGAACTGAGGGAAAACACAACAAGAAGAAATACATTATCCCTGTATTGTAAAGTGTTGCCACTTTAAAGTATTGTAAAGGTTGAAGGAAAACACAGGTGTGTATATCCAACTTGCACTATGATTCTACAGAACCTATTAAATCTTTCAAAGCTCTGTCTGCTAAAGGCAGCATAGTCTTTCTGGCTTAGTTAGTACTGCTATAGTATACAGGTTTCTCAGAGTACAGTTAGTACCTACAGAAGTCAATTCTAGCACAGAAGTGTGTGCTACACTTCATATGGCAGGAGGATAAGCGTAAGAGAAAATTTATGACATTGATTTTAAAGAAATCATACAACACACAGCATCTTTATTTCTAAACATAGAAAATTAGATTGTGGTATGACTTAAATGTTCTCAGATATCAAGAAGGTCCTCTCCACTCTCATCACTCTCCACAGTTAATTGTCTTGTCCACCATTTCTTGACTTCTGATCCACAGGAAGCAGCATCAGACATTGGATTAATTTTGCATGCAACAGATTTCATAGTTGAACGTCCACCAAAACGGAGGTTGACTGAAGACACTGAATGGCTTATTGGTTTGGGGGCTAGGAAATGAAACAAAGTTCAGAAAGTCCTGTATTAGAGTTGATCTGCTTCTTGGACATTTTTGCTTAGAATTCAGGTATAGAGAGCTAGCTAGACTAGGGCACCTTTAAACTGATTTAGTTCAGAAAGAGCAGGGCTCTGTTCTAATTTGTTTGTTTTCCCAGCTCCAGATGTTCACACTACTCCCACTAATCTCCTGGTAGAGAGGCACTGAGCAGTGCCTCATTTCCTTCTGCTGGGATAACTGATGCAAGAGATCTCTTCTTATCAAGCTAATTGAAAACTAAATGATTTAGGCAGTACTAACATGAGCTAACCTGCTGGCAAAACAGTGAAAGTTGTAAATATGAGGAAGGGGGGTGAGGGTGCTTTTAGGAGTGGCAGCTACATCTAGAAAGTGATACTTTACAATGCCCTAGGGGTTGAAGTCAGTACAAGTTGCTGGAGTGGCACTAAACCACAGGTCTAAGTATATAACCCCACAATGGATCTTAATTATGCTATTCATGATCTTAAATACCTGTCCTTGCTGGACTGGAGGCAGACTACTTATCTGTCAGCTGTATTGTGCATGGAAATGACCCTCCTTTTTAGGACCACCCACTGAAGAATATTCAAAACTGACACATATTAGATCAGTGTTAAGAAAGAAAACCCTGGGCTATTCATTCAAGATTTCTCACTTGAAAAACATATGCAGTTGACCACAGCAGTATGACTCCTCCTTAGCATGCTTCCTCTTTCACTCTCTTTTCTGACAAAATGTTGGTCTTTGCTGCTCAGTGATATTTAAATGGAAATCATGGATTGAAAGTTTTCTATTAAACTATCCTGTTTCTTGGACAAGTACACTGGTAACAAAAGTAGGGTCAATGGTAGTCAACAGAACAGCATGACTGTCTCTCCTGCTTCCACTTAGGTATGGTTAGGGTCTGAACAGTGGCAGCCTTTGGGGGCAGCACCCTGATTCAGAATAGGACTGACGTAAAAGGTCCTGAGTAAATGTATGAAAAAAGTAAGAAAATGTAATCACTTGCACAGGGCAATGCTTGAGCCCATCTTCCAAACTTTCTGAATTGTGAAGAAAGGGAGAAACTGCTTTATTCCAAAAAGCATGAGGACAGGAAAGCCCTGATGTGGGTGCAAGCAGCAGCCAGGAGGGAGAATTGTGAATCACGAAGCCTCTCTTGGCCTTGTTATTGCATAACAGGAATTTTGCATGTGGGGACTTCACTGATAAGCCTTTTTCACTTACCTGATGGCAAGCGCCATTGTCCAAATTTCCGCTGAGGTTTCCCAGCATCTCCAGTGTCTTGTCTATAGCCACCTCTGTCAGAAAGTGTCGGGCTAAGCAGCTGCTGCTGGCTACTTGTCTGAACAGAGAAAAATTAATCTCAGTCATAACTCCCCTAGGTAACCTTAGGAAGGGATACCTTTCTATTCTGTTTCAAGCTTTACCACGAATACAAACAAAACATATTGCCATTGGTTAGGGCAGCATGACTTCTGCTCTTTAATACCCCAGAAAACTACTACTAACAGACAAAAGCAAAAAGGTCATGTGGGCTCTCAATGCCATTCATCCTATTGATGGATATGAAATTATTCTCAGCCTACTACAACCATTGTAGAAAGCAACCCTTGCATGGTACCTTCTATTTTTCCTATCCTGGAAGAGCCCAGGAGTCTTCCTCAGAGGTCCCAGCATGCCCAGTGCTCTCACTCTCAGTGTAAACACCACTTCAGATTGTCTGAACTGGAAAGCTTCACATCCCCAAGCCTGCACACAGCTTATGCAAGAGATGAAAGCTGGGGCTGTCAGAGTCATACAGCTGAGTGTGCCCTTTAAGGTGTTTAGCACCATGTGAATTTAGCAAGACAGCTAAATATGTTGTGGAATTACTACCTTACAGCATCTTCCCTTTACATCTGATGGCAAAAACTGAAGCAAAACAAGGTATTGTTTTTAATTTATTTTTTTTTTCAGTTAAAATGATGTTTTAAAAAGAACAAAAAAGAAACATGGAAGTTTTCTAAATTTGTTATGAGGAACTGATATTTTTCTGGATAACATACCTCTGGCTGTGCACTGTTATCTTGATTAATAGCATTCATATCTTCACTTGGCTGTGTTGTCTCAATGCTGGGAGGATTCAGAAATCGGCTCAACTCCTGCTGTTGGCTCTCTCGTAGGCTGTGGATAATGCTGCATGACTGCTGCTGTTTCTATCAAGGTACAATATGTGATGAAAAAAAATGTTCTCATTGGTGTGTCACACTAATGTGTTTTGTTTTTTTTTTAAAGCATTCCAAATATTTAACTGAACAGTGAGCACCATCTGTGGATCCCAGGTGCATCAATAAAGATCCATGTATTAGATGTTGCTATTTAAACAAAGTGAATTCCAGCATATTTCTAACCTTTAGGGAATAGAGGATGAAATTTATGAACTGCATTAAGTGGAAGGCATGTTTCCCAATTTTTGGTTTAAACCTAGAGTTTAAACACATGCAAAGTTTTGAATTTATCAGTTAAAAGTTCTTGCAAAGAAAAAGAAAACAGGAAATTGGTAGAGATTCACAGGGAATTACATGAAGGCAATGAAAAATTCTGATTTCTTTCATGGATTTTGAAGTAGGCTGTCAATAAGACTGAATAAAATAGTAGTGAAAACCCTGGGACTAAGTATAGATTTACAGTAAAAACAGAAAAAAACCCAACCTACTACCATTATGATTTTACAATCTAATTTGCTTTTAAATTAAAATAAACAGCACTTAGGAAGGGTTTTGCTTTTCTGGGTAGTTTTCACATGATCCCTCTAGGGAGATTTAGAGAATAACAAGAGAATTTGAAAATATATCTTAACTTTCGTAATTACATTCAATTTATAAAAGGTTCATAGAATGTGAAATGATCTGAACCATATTATTAGAGTGAAATGAATAGCATATTTACTTTAACATAGTGTACTTCAATATCATAATGAAATGAACAACAGAGTTAAACAAACCCAGAACTGAGAGCTGAGATTAAATTTACTGCCATTATTATTACAGAGATGAAATCAAAATGAAATTATGTAGTGTATGAACACTGATGTTTCACCTGGAATGTATATGATATTCAAAATGTCCAGCTAAATACTTTAATAAATTTACAAACAGAAGATAGGTGCCATGATCACAGACCACTATGGAAAATCTCCTATCACAAAAAGTAATTTTTTTATGAAAACAAAAAATATATGTGTCTAAGCATGGAGTCAGACTCATAGCAACTGAAAAATTGGTCATCAGTGCAACCAGGTTGTGACTTGGTCCATACACCTGCTTTCCACGTAGACACTTTGCTCATTTACACACACATTAACTGTAATGGCTCACTCAAATGATTTATCTTAATACAGGCTCCATCTGGAGAGTCATCCACAGGTTTCTCATCTGCCAGCAGAAGCGAAGAAGTTATACAATTACATTCTGTGAGGAAGGATTAAGCCTATGAAGTTCCATTGAATTACGTTATTTTTTCTTTATTCCTTTGACTTTGGTCTCTGCATATGCATCTTTCTGCTGTATTGAAAAGAATGATAAAGTTTGGGCAGGAAGAGAGTTTTTGCCTTCAAAAAGCACTTATTTTTGTAGCACTGTAGAGCTGTAACAAACAGCTCTATTTTTGTAGAGCTGTAACAAACTTTCTTTTGCTCAGTTAGCAACTGCTACGTACTTCAAATATGTAGTATCATGACTCCAGTGTAAATGAAGCATAGGGACAGCAGATTCCAGCATTGTTGAACAGCTCAATTTATGCAACCATTTAGATACTGCTTTAGCTTGACTTACTGCTCTGATTCGCTTTAAGCACTTTTTCAGCCACATTCGTATGGTCTGTTTGGCCACCTCCTCTTCTATGGTATATTCCAGTTGTTCCCTAGCAAGCAGCTCCTCCAGCTGAAGACTTTTTCTGATATCAACAGACCTGTATGAAAGCATGCTGGAAAAAACACGATTTATTTATTTTTAAATGCAGGTGCCTTTGCATTTTTTAGAGAATCAAAGCTCATACTTAAGACCTTAGTGTGAAAGTACATAATTTAGGTGCGCACAGTAAATTCACATTAGAAGCTAAAAAATTGATGAGATGATTCTAGAAGAGACTTACTGTGCTCAAAACAAAGGCCCTGTCACCTACAACCAGCTATCCAATACAAGTGAACAGCATTTGTGGTGGTTTGAGTTTTTTCCCCCGTAAGTGTTTATGCTTGGATAATGTTTCCATTTCTATTTTACTTCTAGTCAGGCTCACTATCATATTGCTACACTTGAAGGTACATTTCATTAGTTAGGATACAAGAGGAACATGTGACTGTAGTTTGTGACAAATCTGCAATGAAAATGTTAAAATTCCTTGGAGCTGATTCCCTAGGACCTGTGTTTCCCATCACTAATATTTTTACAGGAAAAAAAAAAAGGGAAAACTAATTTTTGTAAAACATTTAAAATTGCAGTGCCTCTGTGGCTACCAGTCTTGGCTTCTCCTGAGCCTAATGGCTCAACCTGCTAGCCTGGAAAGATATTTGTTCTAAAAATGGGGAGAAAATCTCAGAGTACCTGAGCACGTCATGAAAAGTGACATCACCACCATTATGGAGACGCTCCATTTCATAACACATGTGCTTGAACAGCAGCTTGTCCTTGTCAAGATCCACCTCCAGCCTGCCTCGCAGAAGCCTCAGCAGGAATTTCACTCGGAAGGTAGGGATTACACCCTGTATTAAATTGCATAATTGATGGTAAAATATTACTGTTATCTAGCAACTAACTCAGACATTCAACTTGATCACTGAGAGAAAAACTATTTCTTCTAGCAAATTTAAGTCACCGTGAAAACATTGCAGGAGAATGTGCACATTCAGCCAGTTCATCAGTAAGTTCACAGAAGTTTTTGTGGTTATTTAACTCATATACAATGAGAATCTATACCGTTAATTTTGCCAGAATTTTTCAAAATTGCTTGGGGATTTAGTTTCCCCATTTGCATTCATCTGTAATTAGAATCATATTCCCAAAGAGTTGCCCTTGTAAAATGGAAATTAAAGTATAGTTTAAGCACTCATAGCCATATCTATAATTTGTTATAAACCTGTGCCCTTCTCTGTGCATCCTGAATGAACAGGAGAATGTTGAGAGTTTACTGGCTTTCTAAAGATTATCTGCTCTAAGAGGTAGCACATCCTGCACTTTTGGTAACAATTTCTATCTGTTGTTACAAAATTAGGACTGAAAGTTCTTCCTTCTGAAACTGTGGTATTCACAATCTTCAAATATTTTTTGTTCTGCTAAATGAGACTCATCAGAACTATTTTTGCTGTAAGGTGTTTCACATCAGAGAGATTCTATCAGTGCTGGACATGATGGATTCAGAACACTCTACCCCTGTGAGTACAGACTGCAGCTTCCCTCTCCAGCACAGCCATGTGCCAACTATAAACAACCAACTACTTTCACCATAATGTTTTTCACATTCAAATCTCAGTGATGTCATGAATCATTCAGATGATGATTTAATTTGTGTGAGCATCTTAGCAGCTCAGTCTCCCAGATGTTATTCTCATTTCAGAATCACAAAATGGTTGAGGATGGAAGGAAACTCTGGAGCTCACCTTGTCTCACCCCTCTGCTTACACACAGTCTCCTAAAGCCAGTTTCCCAGGATCAGGTCCAGATGGCTTTTGAATATCTCCAAGGACAGAGACTGCACCACCTCCCTGGGAAACCTGTGCCAGTGCTCGGCCACCCTCACAGTGACAAACAGTTCCCTGATGTTCAGAGGTAACTCTTTGTGTTCCAGGTTGTGCTCGTTGCCTCCAGCCCTGTTACTGTCACTGGGCATCACTGAGCAGAGCCTGGCTCTGTCCTCTTTGCACCCTCCCTGCAGGTATTTATATACACTGATGGGATCCCCCTGAGCCTTCTCTAGGCTGAAGAGTGCCAGTTTTCTCAGCTTTTCCTCTCAGGAGACATGCTCCAATCTCTTCATCATCTTTGTGTCCTTTGCTGGACTCTCTCTAGAATGTCTATGTCTTTGTGTACAGAGGAGCCCAGAACCAAACCCAGGACCCCAAGTGTGACCTCACCAGGGCTGAGCAGAGCAGAAGGACCCTCTCTGCCTTGGCCTGCTGGAAATACTTTGTCAGCCCAGGATACCATTGGTCCTCTTTTCTATAAGGGCAATAGTGGCTCATGTTCAACTTGGTGTCCATTGGGGCCCCCAGGACTTTTACTGCCAAACTACTTTCCAGGTGGGTGGCCTCAGCTTGTACTGTTCCTTGGTTTATTCTTCTCCAGGTGCAAGACTTTGCATTTCTCCTTGCTGAGCTTGAACAAATTCCTGCCAGCCCATTTCTCCAGCCTGTGAGGGTCCCTCTGGATGGCAGCACCATTGTGGCATATCAGTCACTCTGTCCAGCTTGGTGCCAACAGTAAATGTGCTGGAGGTGCCCTCTGCCACTCTGTCCGTGTCATTAATGAGGATGCTGAACAGGACTGGACCCAGTATTGACCCCTGGGGCACACAATGAGTTACTGGCCTCCAAATAGAACCTGTCCTGCTGATCTTCACACTCAGGGACTGACTATGCAGACAGTTTTCAGTCCAATTCATTGTCTTCTCATCCAGCCCATACTTGATTAGCCTCTCCATAAAAATTTTATAAGAGACAGTGCTGAAATCTCAGCAAAGATCTTCTCAAGAACAAACACAAAAAATGAGTATGAATCTGCAGGCTTCCAAGGGAACAACTCTCAGGGAGCTGGGAGGAAACATGCTATTATATTTATCCTATAAATAGGTATGTTCGCTTGTAAATCTGCTATCATAACCACTTCACAGAATACAGGTTTGTATTTGAAGGGCCGTGAACAACAGTCGATCATGCTCACTTCTCAAATTCGAACAGTAACTGCTCAGAGAATTTTGTCAATACACTTTTTTCCCCCATATTAATTTTCAAGAAAAACTGGAAGTTTACTGTGTCTCTGTGCTTATTATCAAGAAATTATTATTTCTTACCTCTCTTTTGTCATCAACCATGTTCCATATAATTTGAAAATGCCTTAGATCATTATAACTTAAAAGCTGATCTTCTTCAGTTGAGTAAAACAATGAGAAATTCTCCACAATGATAGCTGAAAACCACAAGAACAAAATAACACCCTAAAGAAAGCCTGTAGTTACATTGTAACATCTAATTCTATTGTGAAAACTCCTCATTAAAAAAGGCCTGTATGCTCAGACAAGGATTTTGAATACATAATATACGGTCTTGCCACATCAATGTTTACCATGCTTTTTAAAAGCTGTATCTTAAATGCTGATGAGACGCCTAATCTAACATCTAAGATTGATTAAGTAAATTCCAATGATGTTTGAACAAAGAAGAAATAAAAGCTTAGAAAACAGTGTTCTGTAGGTCAATTCTGCAAACAGAAAATATCTCTTTTTTCCAAAAGCTTTAATTCCAAAACTTCCTGAGATTTGACACTCAAAGAAGTGCCAAAAGAAGTGCCAAAGAAGTACCAAAAGCATTATATGCATGCATGGTATCATTGAAGGTACAAGGTAGCCTCATACCTGAGCAGCACAACAGACTCACATCTAACATACTATATGCCAAGATGTAGTAACAATCTTGTTGTTATTAATGTCTATTTTCACTTACCAACAAGCAAATTTAGCATGATGTATGCAATGATGACATAGAAAGAACAGAAATACATTAGAGCACCAGCATAATTTCCACAGTCTGTTTTCCAGTAGGTGCTGTTATCCGGTGTACAAAATGGAGGCTGAACCTTCAAAACAAAATAAAATGAAGTAAAATAATAATAATAGAAAGAGGTTATTAATTTCACTGCAATCAATATAATATTTAAGACTATTATGTCTTTAAGGCTTCCCAGTTAGGGAATTATACTGTGGGCATTATTGTGGACAGGTTGTTTTTCTTCCTTTAGTAGACAGAAACCAGGAAAAAGAGAGAGGTATGACAAGAAAGGCTGAGGCATGGATCTTATTACCACACAGAGGACACATTGTGCATTATGCCACTGTACAGGAACAACCTGGTGCTTTGAAGCATAGTGGTTTTCAAAATGTTTCTTCCCTGCTCATTAATTTTAAAAAGGAGAGGCATGTGATCTTCCTTGCAATGGAAAGCACAGATAAACATTTACTTGGGCAAAACATAATGATTCAAGGAGGAATTTTGAGGTCATCAAGACTATCATTCACATGGAATGAGCCAAAGAGTAGGAATGAAAGACAAGGTTAATCTGAAAAGACACCTTGCCCCAGTCAAAGCAATAATAGTGAAAAAGTGAGTTACTAAATTTCTGATTTTGAAAACATCTGTTTATTTTTGTTTTTAAATCATCTAATTGCTTAGCTCCATGAAACACTATACTGTGAATATGTGACTGGAACTTCAATTTGTGCATCATGTTCTGAGGTTTAGTAAAAATTATTTTCTTGAAGACATAAAGGCAAGCCCAACATTCGTTGTACAAAGCTAAAATACTGAAAACAGAGATGGAAGGGTATCTCTCATTTCTTGTCTACTTATCTCTGGTGGTATTGTAATTACCATGCAATCATGCATAATTTTGTTCCAGTCTTCTCCAGTAACTATTCTGAAGAGTACAGTAATAGCCTTGCCAGCTGATGAAAAATTTGCATGTCTGTTTTAAAGAAAGAGAGAGATTGAGAGTGAGAGATTGTTTCACTTCCCAGAATTAAAACATTAGGCAAGAAAAAAATGTTTCCATTTTCTACTGTTCTACTATTTTAAACCAAAAATAGTTACAGAATTACTTGAATCATTTATTTAAAGACTTAAGATACAATAACTGAACTCTAGCTCAGACACAGGTCTGAGTATTTCAACTCATCAGAGAGCTAAAGGAAACTCAAGGCCAGATCCCACTTTCTGTCTCCATTTTGTTTTGTAAGCCAGACGATGATGGGGAAATCTCCAGCTAAGAGCCAGTTCAAAGAACTGTCTCCTTTCTGTATCAGCCTGGTATATGGATCCTGTTCCTGGGTGATGCCAGTAAAGTGCAGTAGGTACTTTGTTTCAGCATCTTGTGGGCTAGCACAGTTCTGCCTTGAAGCATCTTTCAGCTGGCATAATGAAGAACAGCTCTCAGTCTGCTCTGGGTTGGATCAGGTGTCATTTGGTCCAATGCACAAGGACTGGAAAGATGGCTCAGTGTCTCTTATCAGAAATTCTCTTTAGAGCTCTTCAGCCAGACCTGCAGATCTGTCTGGTTTTTACCACAGATAAACTTCTCTAGCACCATGTGATTTCTTCAGGTTGTTTGAAGAACAGTCCTGTGAGGTGGGAACTCCATACTGTACCTGTTAATGTTCTCTCCATATTTCACTGTACCAAATAACACCACTCCAGCGAAAGCATAACAAAGAAGCAGTAAGAACATTCCCACTATGATGAAGAAACTTTTGTACATGCTGACAACCACAGTCAGGAGAAGCATTTTTAGTGTTACCTGCAAAGACAGAAAGAAAGCAATCCATAAGAGCATTCAGGAAAGCAAATATAAAACCTAAAAGAGAGTTCTTGCACTTGCCATTTTGACATCAAATCCTTTAGCCACATTCATTAATGGATGAGCTCAGTAAAATGGTACATTATGAATGTGAACTGTGTGTGCTTTTTACTTGTCATAGATACGAGCACATCTTCCTCATTTACAAGGCCAAGGTGTTCCTCCCAAAAAGTATATTTAGGATAATACAGTGTAGGTTATTACAGTGATGGTACAACATAAGCTTAACTATAATATTCTAGGATCAGTATTCTTCTGAAGTATCAGCATTGACATTGCATGAACAGTGGTGCAATAAGCTACTTTGGGCTTATCTGAAAGTGATCCTAACTGTTATAAACCACAGGTACTGTGGCCTACCCAAAGGAATACTTTCATTTATAGAGAAGATTTCCTTAAGATCAGTACGGCTTTTTTAAGCTGGTAATTTCTCATGGAAGTTTGTGGAAGATCAGGGACACCTTCCAGAAGCCTTCCAGTACCTAAGTGGGGGTGACAGGAGAGCTGGAGAGGGACTTTTTACAAGAGCATGTAGTGACAGAACAAGGGCAAGTGGCTTTAAGCTAAAAGAGGTTAGGCTTGGATTTGATATTGGGAAGAAATTCTTCACTTTGAGGGTGGTGAGGCACTGGAGCAAGCTGCCCAAACAAGTTGTGGATGCCCCACCCCTGGAAGTGTTCAAGGACAGGTTGAATGGGGCTTTGAGTAACTTGGTCCAGTAGCAAGTGTCTCTGCCCATGGCAGGGGGGTTGGAATGAGATGCTCTTTAGGGTCCCTTCCAACCCAAACCACTCTGTGAGTCTATGATTCTGCAAAGTTGGCCAAAAAACACAAGATGAGAGCATAATTTTGAAAATTCCATAGGCTGTGTGCCTTGATAATAGATATTACTTTCCCATGCATGTATATTTTGCATTATACTCTAGATAAATTTATTGCGCTATATTGTCCTAAGACTCTTAAATTATTTGGATATGATGAAAAATCCCCTTTAATGGGACTGAGGGTTTCATTTTTCTTTATAATCATGCCAAATTCCTGCTGACCTTTAGCCACCACATTGCATCAGGATGGGTAAATTAGTGAAACTAATACAGCTGGTAACATGAAAGTACAAATGACTAGGTTAAAACCTTGAAAAAAACATCAGAATCAATCAGAAAGCTTTGAAGGAAATCACTTGGTCTGGATGCATAGAAGAAGCAAGGACTTTTCATTTGACCTCCAAGGCTCTACAGGCTCTGTATAGTCTGATTGAAAGAAAACTTTTTATCTTTACTCAAAAAACCCTTTGACTTACTGTTCTTAACCCTGGCAACCTAGTACAGCAGTTTTTTCATCACATTTACTTTAATATGTCAGACTTCACAGAAAATATTTGGATAGTCTAAGAAGTTCTACAGCAAGGGAATGCAGTGTCACCACTTGTTAAATAAATGTGTTTGTTCTCTGCCTATGTTTATTCTGCCAGTCTACTCTCAATTACATCAGAGGAAATCCAAACACAAAAGAAATGTAAACTTGAGAAGTGACTTGCTTTGTCACCATCCCAGTATTTCCAGAAGAACATCTTGGCCCAAAATTATTTTTAAATTGAATATAAATCCTTTACTGTGACAAGACATACATTGTAGAGACAAAAGACACAAACCTGCGCTCTGGAAAAAGAAGCCTTTTTAAGAGACCACTGTCATAACAAGAGGAGTGCATTCAACCACCACTACAATAGTCTTGCAGAGAAAATAAATGAAGAGCATGCCCATCACATCTCACTGAAACGGAAAGGGCTGAAAGTAGCACAGTGCATGTTCAGAGTTGTAGAGAGCATTTTTAAAACCTGTGGTATTGCAGCTGCACTTTGTTTTCTGAAAAAATTCAGCTTTTCCAGTAACCATAGCACTTATATACAATCTACTTAAAATTCTGACATTTTAAGGACAGCATGTAAAGTTGCAGACTGCTGTTTGATTTTTTTTTGTTTTTGCCTAGAAAACAGAGCCTTACAGAATTTGCATGAGAGATGCACAGCATCTAGTCCTTTAATCTATACATGAGCACTGCAATAATTGCAGTTTCTAACTTATACTTACATGCTTCCCACAAATGGAGAAAAACCTGAAGACAATTACACATGCCCCCATCATGTATGTGTATGCATTCTGGAACACAAACACAAAAGATTTAATACATGGTTCCCCAGGAATCTCTTGAACAGATTGTGGTAACTGATGTTTTAGTAATGTAGGGCAGTGGCCATATGAAATAAGCGAAATCATAAATTATTAGCAACAATATGAAGAACACAAACCAAACCTCCCCACACATCAAGGCAAAAACCCTTTAGTCCTCTATTAATTATGCACATCAGGCCCAGTTTACTTGTCTAGGAAACTGCTGGATTACAGATTACAGAAACTCCCCAGGCCTACTTAGTAGCAGGGAGAAACTGTGAATGTCAGGGCAAAATGGCTAGTCACACAGAGCAGGTTTTCCTTCAAACTGAACTTGGGGCAGACAAGAGACAATCCTGCAGACATTATAGGGTTGGGACTTTGACAACTTGTGACTGATGACAAGCATCAACCATCCCCTCTCCTTCCCCTGTAAACCAAGAAACCAGGAGTGTAGTCAAATTTAAAAAATTGGTGTGAAATGAAGGGAGAGCTGATTTCTTCCCATCTCTCCTACATGTCTTGGATTAAACACTGCCCCTTAACCAAAACCAGTGGTACAGAATCACTGTTGGGCTTGGGAAAGTTTGTATTGTACAGCAGTTTTGAACCTATGCCTTCTTCCAGTCCTCTGCTCTTATTTGTATTCTGTGCCTTGCTTCTTTTTTCCTTCAGGCTCATAAGATCTTTGTTAGCAAGAGCTCTCACTCTCTTCAGTCTCCTTCCTTTTCTCACATCCCTCTTAAAGACTTGTTTCCTACCACATTTACAGACTCTAACGTGCATCATTAAGAATTTTTGCACTACATGATTGTCCAAGACAATGATTCATTTCTCTTAGCATGAAGCTTAGTTTCTTTCAGACATATTTCAGCCTTATTAAACATTCAAAGATTTATCTGGATATATAGCAGCAATCCTTCTGCTGGTGTTTAAAGATAAATCATTTTAATCACTGGAATTGCATTTTGTGTATCTTACCAGTAAGGCAAAGTGAAGTATGACCCATATAACTCCAAGAGATGTCACCAAGAGATCATACCGATTTCTTCTGCTTTGCCAGAAGCCAGAAGGTGACATGGCAATAATCTTCATTGTGACCTATGGATAAAAGAACATCTCACTTGTAATGAAGAAATGATTATTCCTTCCATTCTCCAAAATGTTTGATTGGTTCATTTTATGAAATAGTTTCAAAAAACAAGGGGCAGATTTAATCTCAACTAAATATTCCCATGTGGACTAACTGGATAATATTAGCTTTCCTTAGGTGGAGGAAAACTGGTACTTGTGTAAGACCACAGATGACCAAGACCAAGGGATGAACAGCATTCTGAATTGTCTCTCTGTCTCCACCAAGTATCAAAGACAGAAGTACAGCTAACTACCTCAAACTGAGTGCTTAATGTGTAGATTGCTGAGGTGAATGTGGCCTTGAAGTTAAACAAGTCATGTCTATAACATGTAGCTAAAAAAAGTAGCAGTGTCCTGTCTAACTGTCTGTAGGCAAGCTAAAATTACATAAGCACATCTGATGTCAGGAATATAATTGTGTTCTGCAGGATCTACAGTTCAAATTTATTAAAAAGCTTTCCTATATTGCAAATATTTCTTGCTTTAAGGAACACTCTGTATTCAGCACCATCTGTACTCAGCAGCATGTAAGAGAAAAAAGCTAAGAACAGTAAAGGCAGTATATTTGACAATGTACCTGGTAAAAGGCAGCTTCCAAAGTGCTTGATAGTTCCAATTTAGGTAACAGGAATGCAGACAAGAAGCTCAAGAATAGATACTAATAGTTACAGAAATAGTCACATCAGGTAACAGATACAAAAGTAGAGCGATGCATGTAGAGGGAACACCTAAGGGTTTCCCATACACAAGTCCTATTAAGTCTTTGAGCAGATTAGGAGTTACTGTATAAAGGCTATAAATGTCAGGCATTCATTACACTATTTTTTCTATCCATCCTTGCAACCCTGCCATTTAACATTTCTGAAAACAAAACCAGATATAAGAGGACACTAGCTTGAGGTAAAAGGCTGATTTTCCAGTTAGCTTTCTGCCTTATAATGTTTTCTGAAGCCTGAGTACAAAGTGAACAATATGGTCTCTGAATCTCTAATTACCATTTGAGTTACCTAAGGTATCTTGCCTTCAGTTACCTGAGCTGCCCTAGAGAACTGAAGATGGATGGATGGGACTGACATAAGACCTGTAAACAGCCATGGCCTTCTGGAGTGGCTAGTGGAGGTAACTGAATCTCACCCTTCATCTCCCTTGATCACAAATAACAGCTTAAACAGCTATCTCACATGTAGAATTTAAACATCTAGCTTCAGCTGTTCATAATCTTGAACTGATTGCCACACCATGGAAATAAAAAAAAAATCGCATCTCCCTTTATTCTGTCATTATCAGTGTGGTAACAAAAGTGAAATCTTGAAATTCTTCCTGTTTTCTATACCACATATGTATGATTTGAGCAGTAGAGGTTTAAGGCTGAATCAGGAGTTAGACTGGACACAGGGCCATCAGCTATGCAGAAAACAGACTCTGTGACCGGACTATGCTGCATTAAGGAAGCTCCTGGGCAGGAAGCTGCTTCCTCTCTCTATAAATTGTGTGCACTCACAGTGTGATAGCTTGCCTGTTGAGACAGTCAACAAATTTTTCTTGGCTCTGACAAAGTTCCTTTGAAATTCTAGAAGTGTATTTGTTTCCCCTGGCAGTACAGGAGAAAAAAGTATTTCCAAAGACATAGTTACTAGGTAAATTAAAACCTGCCTGTGTATTGCACAAGTAAAACTTTTCTGTGTTTGCTCAGTCTCTCCAGAGACACTGATTTCTCCTGGGTAGGGAAAAAAGAAGCAACAACATGGACATACTCTAGCTACAGCTGCTACAAGGTATTTACTTCATTGTTTATTCATCACTACTGGCAAAACCTATCAATGGAACATAAGAACTGTCAGATTGGATTAGAGCAGTGGGAAACATAGTCTACTATCCTGTTTCTGATAGTGGTCAGTATCAGCTATTCAGAAGGGACTGACAAGAAAAGTAGTCAACCAAAAACTTATAAAGAATTATGTACTATCCTAACCACAGAGGAAGCATCTTCTTTATTGTTAAATCAATATCCTAATACATTAAAAAAGTATGTTTTTCAAAATGTGTTTAAATCACTAGATTCTAGTCTTATGAAAATAGGCTAAATACACTTTGCAGAGATTGTAATAACAATATTCTCGTAGATTGAGAACTGCCACCATATTGAAGCCAGACTTGTGCAGCAAAAGATAGACAATACTGGAGCTGGGGAGTAGCTTATTAAAAGATACTGAAATGAAATATGATATTTAAAACAAAAAAAAGGTGAGAGAGGTTTGATTTTGTCACAGGTACAGAATAGCTGGGATTATTAACAGATAAGGCAAAACATAAATGAATGAAGCAGAACTGTGAGAACACAGACCTTCTGTTGTATGGAGGGAATGTAACATGATATGTTCTGCAAGAAAAGGGTTCACTGGGTTCACCAAAACACACTGTTAAATGCTCAGACTTGAATACATATGAAAAGACACAAAGCTCAATGTTGTAGAGAAGTATGACTCTAACACATTAAAAATTTCTTCTCACAATACATGCTTAAAGACAAGTGACATGGAGAGCCCTGAATGTACACATTTAGAAATAAACACCCTAGTGAAGAATGAGAAGCATCTCTAAAGACAAAATGAAATATATATATACAAGTCTTAATCTCAAGAAGTCATAAAATATATTACTTTACCTCAAGGACAAAAATGAAGGTGAAAACAACAGACATTGTTGCTAAAGGCACCGTCACTGGATCTGCAGCATCCCACTGAAAAGCAAGGATAATTCATTTATAGAAGAATAGCTGTTAAACAGAATAAATGCCTCTTCATTGCCTTAACTTGAGGATTTTATTAATGAATAAATTTCACTTTAAAGTATACTCAGACAAGAATGGCATCTTGCTGTACTATTCTCTCTGATTTACAGTTTACCTAGAAATTAAAAATAGTAGACCAGACTACAAAAAGGCAGAAATTGACTGAGTCCCACAAGTTACAAATAATCTACAGTGATCTATGCCAACTGAGATTGCTGTACCTAGAAATCAAATTTCCTTGCATTCATCACACTAATGGCTCAATTGATCATTAATTGGTGTTAGGAAATGTGCAAACACATGCTGTACTACTGTAATGAAGTGCTTAAAAGAAACACAATTACCTTAACTGATAACAACACAGACTGGGCCAGAACTAGTACAGCAATAGTCCTCTTAAAAAATGGATGCTGAGTTATATCATACATCTTCGCTCTAAAGCCATCGTTATCTGTAAAAGAAAGAGTTTGAGGAGGAGAGTTAAAATACGCAATAACATTTCCCCCTGATTTCTTGACATATTTTCCATGTCCATTAGAGACAAAATAATCCTTTCCCATTTTCAAAATACATTTCTAATTTTCTTCCACAATTTTCCATATCAAATAGGGCTTCTGAACATATAATTTCAAATACTGAACACCAGTGTTGCATGAAAGCTTCGGTACTTTTAGGGCAAGTGCATCATTCAACTGCTGTCAGGTTAATACATTCCATTCATATCATTACAGCCAACTGCAAATATTTTTCATTTAGAAATTCATTTTTTCATTAAGGCTTATCTTAAAACCATCGAAGCACAACCTTTTTTGGGTTGATTTTAATAGCCTTATGGAGAGATCTGTAGTTGGAGCCTGTTTCCACATTAACTTATGCACAACCTCCTAGTGGCCTCACGATTACAGTTTTAATTTGAATCGCAGACTCCTGGGGAATTACGAACACTAGGGCTCAACATGAATAAAATCAAAATATCTTTGATACCCGGACGAGGTGGGAGATGAAGAGGTTGTGCTATCTTCAGTCTGCTTTTCAGATCTTCCCATCGTCTCTGATCTACAGTCAGCAAAGCTGTCCCCTTAATAAACAAAGAGAAGCATATAAAGCTTTTGTCATTTAACAGCACTGCAACATGAAAACAACATTCTCTTTGGTGCCTGAAATAAAGTTACATACACAACTTCCCTTAAATAACACACAGCTTAGGGAAAGGAGTCTGAAGTATCATCTATTACTCAAGAGGATTTCTGGATGCATTAGCTGTGAGTTTCTGGGACTCAACTCAGCGGGCACAATTGCTGCTCTTTGTAGCAGCAGCCCAGTGTGGGCAAAGAAACACTGCAGGAGGTCTTCCATTTGACTGAACACCATTTGCCAGAAAGCAGAGTGGTGGATTTTGTCTGGATTTTGCAGCAGAAAATCCTATGGCTTGCTAGTGCCACTAGTTTCTTCAGGGAAGGAGCCCTCCAGGAGACCACTGCTGCTTTCCACAGCTCTTCTGCTTGGGGTGTAATTGAAATAAAATAATACTATGCTATGAATCTACAAGAGCTCTCCACTGAGGAAGCACAAAGAGAGGTGAAGACATACTTTTAGAGTGGATGGTGGTAGCTAGTAATGTGTATAAATGCTCAAGTAACATAGAAAACTTCAAACAGAATTCAACATTATCTAAAAGTGACCTTCAAAACAAAATGAGTTCCATATGACTTTAGAGAACTGTAAAATCACACAGAAGGATTCTAGAGTTACAAAAACAAAGGAGACCTTTTCAAGGTAAATGTTAAAAAGTCTGTCTCCCAGACACTTGGTTCCTGTCCCTGTCAGAAAGGAGCTGCACTGAGCTGGGTGAGGGCTGGTATGGTCTTTGCCCTTACCTGGGCATTGGCTTGTCTAAATGCTGAAACTGTGGCTAGCTGTACAACTGGTAAGGTCAGGACTCCTCCCTCTCAGTGAACATAATCTCTTTATGGAGTTGTGTCCCTAGATGGTACCCTGGGAAGAGATGCCTCCCAACACAATGTGGACAAAGTGACCGATGTAAAAATGCTGACTACTCCTGTCAGGCCCGAACGGCACCATTTAGAAACATTTAGATTAAAAGACAACCCTAAGGAGTGCATCTGGCATATATTGCTGGGAGAGCCTTCATGGCAAAGAAGACAAAAAGTGGCAAAAATGTGGACTTTTGTAAGATCTAGTGGTGCCAAATTACTTTGTTGCTCAGAAACTGCCAGTTCCACAAGCAGGATCATCATAAGGGAACCACAGAGCAGAGCACTGCGAGCAGGTCGAGGATTGGAGGAGCTGTGCTTGCATTTGGACTTCAGCTCAAAGCGCCAGGTAATATTTGAGTCCTTCACATCTTCACTGCTGACTGAACTCCTGGCACTTGGGAGCTGTGACAAGTGATAGTTGGGGATTGAAATGTGATTGGGGGTTGGAATAATTTGGGATATTGCCCTGTCACTGGGACAGCAAATGACAGAGTCCAGGACTTGCTGTGGTACTTCCCAGTCTAATGTTTCCACACTTGCAGTTCCAACAACTCATACAAAAAACAAGCATATCTGAAATGATATCTTTTTTATTTTTAGAAAATTGTTTGTTCTCATGTAAAATAGTTTGTTCAGTAATTGTCCAACTCTGATCCTCATCAACAGCTCCTGTAATTGTTCTAACCATATATCAGCCATGAAATTTCTAAAGAAAATATCTACTTTAAACACTAATACATTGGTCAAGTAACTAGTTTTAAGAAAATGTGACCAAACCTTACACTGAATTGTTTTACTCTACTTTCTGGGCTAGTTGTCAGCCATCTCTCTATATATTTTTTTTAGTTTCTGGACATTTCTTCAGTCTACTTGAATATTAATTGGGCTGAAACTCTTGCCCACTTAATTAACATTAATCTTTCCAACTCAAATCTGAAAACATTTTCTTTTCTCCTTAGTAAATACATAAAAAGCAACAAGTAGTCATGAAAAAGGAAAGAAAAACAAGCGTTACATGACACTTCAGGTTACTAAGAAACAACTGAAGAAGCTGAACCAGAAGATATGAAAGATTTATACTTGAAGTATCATGTGAATTCTAAAGGAATATTGCCTGATGTGCCTGATCAGTGCAATTTACAGGGAACTGTTACTAGTGAGCAAGGACAAAAAAGCATAAAGCTTTTTGTAGTCATCTGTGTATTGAAAAATTTGAAAGAAAAGTAATATTGCACAGCTGAACAAAAAGTGACAAAAGCATCTATAAAAATCCAGTAGAGTTCTCATACTGTACAAATTTCAGCTTTGTTAATTCACAGCCAAAATTTAGTGAATAAGAAAAGAAATTATTAGTACATTCCTCCTTGTTCCCTAGAATAGATAAATTTTAACAGGAATGACTGCACTTCATCTTACCAAAATTACACCAACGTTATGCAAACATAAAAAATACCTTCAGAACACTAGAGGTTATAGGCTATTTATTTGTCTCACAATCTGCTTGATCCCATTTCATGATGCCTTGCTTGCCCACATTAATGCACAGTAACATGCAGCTTGTCTCCCTTCCTGAAGGAGTCAAGTGGTTTCCCTGATGGACAAACTTTATGGTGGTGTTTACTACTGGGCTCAGGTCAGGCCCATAGCCAGCACCCAGCTCCAGCACAAGCACACCGGGCTGTCACACATCACCACAAGCTATAGTGTGTAATCATCCTTTCCCTTCAGAGGCACGAGTGGTAAAAGTATCATATCTCATTATTATTGTGACTTTGAACTGAAAGATGAAAAAAATTAGTAATTTTGTCTTGATGCCTCAGAGGCACCATAAGAGGCTCAGAAAAAACCCTCAGACTAAAGGTTGTGCAGTGTGTGTGCAGCAGTCCCATTCAGAGGATTCTATCTTTTAACAAGTGTAGACATGAGCTGGTCTGAAACAGTTCCCCTGAGGGCAGGTTTTTCTGCTTTTCAAAGTAATCCAAAAAGCCCATGTGAACTTGCCTAGAATACTAGCTACATTTTTATTTGAGTGATGGACAACTATTTTTACAATGTACTCTGTGGTTTGTAAAGAAAAAGCCACACAGCTTTACTTTGGATCTGAAATACTGCAATGGCAGGGTTCTAGAGTTGCAACGCAGGCAAGCATAACACATCTTTTTATCTGCCACCACATGTATGCCTACATGAAACTAACCAGAACCTGTAAATACGTAGTGCTTTATGTTCAAGCTCCATCTAGCAGCACAGCTGCACTAGAAATAAACTCTAACAGCTTTGATAGAGTGTGTGATGGATTGCTGCCATCACAGGCTTCAAATTTCTAGCAAGTATGGATCGGGTGTACCTGAAGCCGTATTTGCAGTCTTGCAAAATGTAAGACTGGTAAGCCAGTACTAAAGGCAGCCTTACCAGGTAATGTAGGCAGTGCAATACCAGTTTCAGGTTTCTCACAGAGCCAGTTCTACATTCAATCAACCCTCTCACTCAGAATAAACCACCTCACTTAGTACCTTGTTTTCATTAAAATTGGCGATGACAACTCCAACAAAAAGGGTCAATCCAATCATGCAGCCAAGGAATACAAAAACATGGATGTAGATTCCATGGATCTAAATAGACAAAAATAAGATTAATAGCTAAAAAAAACCCCATCGTTATTTGTTGTAGAATTCAAAGAATCTGATGTGTTTCCTTACCGGCCCAACACGATGAATAATAACATCTCTGACTTCCACCCAGCCTTTTAATGACAGAACTTCAAATAGTGCCAGCATTGCATTGCCCACATTGTCAAAATTAAAATTCCGAGGATTTGCCCTGAAATGCAGTACACAAATAGGTGTAACCAGCAACATTTAAATACCTTGCAAAGTTGGGGTGAAAGCCTCTGAAACATAGAAAAGTTCCATATCAAGAATAAGAAAACAATAGCGACAGCAATAAATATGTAAAAATAATTTTTTAGATCCCTATGTATGTTTTATTTTCTTACTCAGAATCTGACTCACAGCAATAAAGCTTAAAACATGTTCAAGGCCAGGCTGGATGGGGCTTTGAGCAACCTGGTGTAGTGCAAGGTGTCCCTGTTCATGGCAGGAGGGGTTGAAACCAGAGAATCTTTAATATTCCTTCCAACCCAAACCATTCTATGACTCTATGTTGCTGCATCTTGAAGCTTTTGCCAATGAAATAAGAAAAATACATAATTCATGGAAAAAATTGATCTGATGGCAATGGCCAGATTCTAAAATAAATTTACCTGCAGGAAATAATTCTCTAACCCACATAAATGATTTGGACTCCATGGTCAGCGAGATTGTTTAGAAAATATGTTCCCTACTTCATTATCGCGAGGAACTGCTAGCTTAAAGCAAAACTTACTGAAAGGACATCACATCTTCTTGGCTTTCCTATACCATATGCTCCGCCCTTTTTTATCAGTTGAGATTCAAGAGAATGTTTCCAGTGGAAGATTAAAAGTATTCTCTTTGGGCTAAGTTAGCACATTGCCCTGTCTCTACAATCCAAGCCAGATAATCCAAGGAGCCCAATGACTTTTCAACAGTTTATAAGGTAAATAGTTGTACTCCAGAAGAGTTATTAAGTGTTTGGTGCTTCTTAAATCCAACCATTCAGTGAAAAGAGAGCTCTCAGATGGAGATACTTCTTTTTAATGCAGTCCTTATACTGACATCTGGCTCTTGAAAATCTGGCCTAACAGCCAACAGGTGGTATAAATGTCTTTGTGGTAAAACATTTTTCTGAAATAACAAAACATTCCCCAAAGTTTACAGTTATGCTGATTAAGACAGTTTTTGCTTATTTCTGGATCAAGCTGAACAGGATTGAATTTGCTTACTTGAGGAAGAATTTCTCTGAAGCATGCAGAAACAAAGACTTCTGCAGATGTCAGAATTTCACTGACTTCAAATCACAGGCATACTATTTCATTAGTGTAGGGTGCCTCTGAATCTACCACTGCTGGTACATTCTTTATCCACACACATGGCCAATTAAAATAATCATGGCTTTAAGTTAATTTTGCAAAATGCCAACCAAGTGAAAAATATAAACAATTAAAAAAATTGAGTTTTGCCTGTTCAGGTGTTGGGAAATATTTAATGGACCTTATTAGAATACTAATAAAAAACATACATTAGCTTTTAAATAAATTTTACTGCACTTCTGTACCACATAGACCACAAGGATTCCCTACACTGGAAAAAGAAAGAAACTGCTAGCTGGCATGGTACATGGTCATAGAAGAGAAAGGCTGTTTTTAGACATGATATAATAATTTGTTTTTATGGGTAGCTGTAGGCAGGTTGATTTCCATTTCTTTTCCTTCCCATCTTCTGCTATTTATTCTTAGGCTCTATTGTTGCTTTATGGCTCTCAGGTTGCCTTCATAATAGTACTAAAGAATAACTAAGTGATGATACTTTTCAAGAAAATAACTCCCACTGTAATAATAATAATAACCAAATCAAATCTAATTCCTATTCAGGTTCAGTACCTAGAGGGGTTTATTTTCCTTTCTGTTTTATGAAGTGGAGGTTAAGTCTGGAAAATTTCATATATCTGGCTTTTTACTAAATATACCAGAATTTTTACTCTTAGTATCATTTGAATTACAATAAAACCCCTCCATCAGTAATTTAATGTCATCACATTTGAGCCATTTTTTCTACACCAACAGTTGCACTTTTGAAGAAACATAGGCCAAAGTGTAGCAACTCACCAGACTCGTGGCACCCAAAATCCAGGCTTTTTCTCTCCAGGTCTTAACTTTAAATTGAGATTTTTGGAAACACTTACATTTATTCTGAAGATGCCATGACAATCTTCCTATAGTGAAATAAACCACAGCCCGAGATTAAACAGAAGCCTGTGAGAAATGCTGACATGCCAGCATAAACAGCACATTTGCCATGATGGGAAAGCAATATACACAAAAATGAAAGGTTATTTATATGTCAGCGATTAATAGTCATGGACCTTTACCTAAATGAAAAATGCATCTTAGTAAGTGTTCCATATACCATTTTCCTTCAGGACTGACAGAGCTTTTCAATTGGCAAGATGATGTAGCCTTTCACCTCTTTCCTAAAGACCACTGCGCTCTTTAGGTCATGATTATATTTCTCCAAATGGAGAAAGAAACACAGATAACTTTCTCCATGTAACCCACATGGTGCCCCCAATGATCTGGACCTTTAGCAGTCTAACCTGTTTTTCAGTTGTGGATCTGGGAATGCAAAGGTGGTATTTTCCATGATTAATTCCATGTTCTAGCCAGTCCTTTGCTAATAACATGGCATTCATTTGGCAACTTTTTTTTAAGACAGCCCCCAATATTTAGACCTGCTTTACTTGGAAACCCCTGCTTTATATGGAAACCCATCCTTACCCTCATTTTCTGACTCCTTAATCACCTTTCCCTCTATTATCCTACTTCTGAACAATAAAGTGCCTGAGATCTCAGTTTTTCATATGAGAGTTCTTTCCCCAGCAGGCAAAAAATGGCACAACACACCATTATTTGGAAGCAGAAAAGCAGTTCTTACCCTAGAGATTATGTGAGGGTCATTGCATTTAGCCAGTTTTCCAGCAAATAGCTGCACTCCAAAGCTTGCGAAAACAAGCATTAATGTCAGCAGAAGAATAGAAACCTGTAAAGATGAAGTTGGACTTGTCAAGCTCCTCTTCTGCAGACTTGAAAAAGGGGGTCAGATCCCTTGGTGAACTGCAGGGAGGATTGTTTTGTGGTATAAACCTGCAGATACAGCTTTTGTGACAGACATGTTTCTTTAGGTCCTGGTCCAGTAACCAGGTGCTGCGTTATATTTATCTTATTTTAAACACAGGATCTAAGAATTGCAGATATGGATAAAAGCTTTCTTGTGCTCAGTGTACCACCTTGCTAAATTCTGTATGCATAAGAATTGCAAACTCACTTTAAATAAACTGTTTGAGTGCTTGCATATGTGCTGCTTTTGTTTTGCTGATTCAGTCTAATTAATCTGATTAAGCCATTGTAAGATATTTAATTCCAGGATAGCTCCAATAAAGATTAGCATGAGCAAATTAAGATGTAAATGTCTTTAACAGAATACAGTATTTATGAAATGCCAACTAGCTTCATACTTTTTGTCCTTGCTCTGATACTGTCTGCAAATATTTTGTAGCTTAGTGTTTTATAACAACCTGACCTAATAAAACCTTCTGTTAAGGAATAAGATGACTCTTGCTTAAGCTGACCAATATCACATAGGATCCCAAGACAACAGACTAAGTCTGATCAAGCAATCACAAACTCCATTATTGTTCTTATTACTATAAGGATGGCCATGATCATTATAATAACTACAATGACATAAGAAAGAGATCCAGATCTGTGATGAATAGCTGTATTGTTTTTGGCTGCCTCTCAAAAAGCTTGAAGGTAGAGACCTGCAGCTCAGAAGCCAGGTTTGCAGAGCTGCCATACACTACTTCTCATCTTCCTTGACCAACTAGAACTGTGTAAAAAGGAAAGATTTTTTTCAGTAGTCCTCCTATGTAATTATGACTAAAAGTATGCTAAAGAAGTAATATAATTTCTAAAAGAATTATTACTACAGCTTTACTCAGTGTGAGTTACTTATATTCTAATTTTTAGCTTGTGTGGTCATCTGCAGTGATACCTCAATGAAAAGCAAACGGACAACAGCAGCGAAAAGAATAGAAAACATGAATTTTATATCAAAATGTTATCTTATATTCATATATTTTCACAAGAAAAAAATAATTGGGACATACCAAAAAGATTTCCTTAAAGCCACTAAACAGCTCTCGCACCACTTTCCTCATCTGAGGGACCAGTTTGAAAATTCGAAGAGGTCGGAGGCAGCGGAGCACCATTAAGAGCTGAGCTCCGGATTTGGCAGGGACGTTCTGAGGCATCCAGCAGAGGAATATCAAACTCACCTGGAGGTGGCAGGATAGGAAGAGGCAAAGAAAGGTCAGGCTTACAATTTCTTACTTGGCATAGACACAGGACAGAAGGTCAATGAACACTTCTTTACCTTAAAGGAAAGAATAAGGCAAGAGAGCATCTAATTTAGGAAAAGGGTTTAGATCTCTTATGTCCTGGCTCATTGTTCTAAATAAAGGGCACCAGCTTGTCTTTGTCTCCCCCTTTGACTAGAAATCTATTTTATATACTTAGATGGAATATTTCCAAAAGGTGAAATCAATTTGGCTGATTCAAAACAGGGACACAAACTATATTCTTGGAGCAGGAAGCGTTATTTCTGTCCCTCCTTCTCATTTCAGAGATTCTACCCTGGAACTGAGAAATCCTCACCTGGAAAGTCTGTTAACAGTTTTTCTGACAGTTTTTCCTACCACTTTGTTACAGGCATAAGTGGTTTTGTCACCATGTGGTTTCACTACACGAATGTTATGTTTTTGGAAGTGTTTTCAAACAGCATAGTTGTGTTATGTAGCCTGGACAATCTGTGACAAATGGTTATTGATTTAACATCTCTTAAGTGCTTCTTTTTTAAAAAAAACCAGTGTTATCACAGGGGGACAGAGGTGAGAGTATTACAAAGAAGTGCACAAAAAATGAAGAATCAAGATGATATTACCAATTATTTAAAACTTGATATAATTTGTTTAAAAAACAGTGATAAAAGGCAGCCATCCCAGCAAAACAAACAGATTTGACAGCACTTCTGACTTTCTTCCACAGTTGCTTAAGATCATCACAGTCACATTTGGAATATCCAAACTACAACACCTAATTTTTTCCTTCAGAAAAGCACAGGGATTCAGAGAGATTTCAAGAAACTAAAGCACATGAGAATTATGCATACTATAGTAGGAGTTTTGTACAAGTATGCATATTTTTATTTATGCTAACAATAGAATCTTTGATACAAATTGATCGTGACAAATTTTATGCAGCCCATCTGCCTTGTGGATTAATCTCTGAAAGATTTAATCTAAATCCATCAAAGCCATTTTTCTCAGTAATTTCTTCAGTTAGAAAATATTTCATACTCTATTATACTGAGCACTGGTTTTGACACATTCTGTGGTGTTTACTGTCATATGTGAAGAGGAAATGGACACCCTCCTCTTGTATTTTAATGGAATGCAAGAGATTTCCCAGAAAATGTTTAGAACTTTTGAGAAACTTTTTTCCCTGAGAACCACTATTGATAGATATGGGATATAGGTTTTTTTACTTTCTACAATAGCAACACCAGCAACAAAGACATGCCCTCTGTGAAATGGTAAAGGCTTTTGAAACACCTTCAATAAAGTAGGAATACTCTTGAGAGGGGAAGAAGCAATTAATATCTATGAAACATATAAAATTAAGATTCTCCTGCATAAAAATGAAGCGAGGTCAGATTTCTCGAGTCTACTCTGAAGGAATATCAGATCTGATACTGAAAACATATCAACAAATAAAGAACTAAAAGGGGCCATACAATGGCCCCACACTAAATTGCAGGGTGTTCATCACATCTCTGTATCACTACTGCATATGTATCAGGGTACAGAGCCAAGCTTTTTTACATTACTAACCATTTATATAACCAAATATATCAGAATTAAGAATGTCACAAAAACCTTCCATAAATATCCAAACTTACAAGATATATAAATATGTCCATAACTCCTCCAAAGTCCCTAATGACAGCTGTTGGTGTAAAGAACAAGCCATCTGCCATAATCTTCAGATTAAGCTCAATGCTCATGAATATTACAAAAACATATTCAGCAATCTGAAAACAAAAGCAGAGAACAACCATAATTTAGGAATAGGCAGTGAAGAAAAGCAAGGTGACTGTGGTTCAATAATTGTAAAACGATTCAGTGGCAGTACCTGGAGCGTTGGAGCATGCATAACTCTTCTAAAAGGGGATTCGAACATCATGGAAATGCAGGAGCATATTGTAACAATGATCATGACCCAGTCCAGGTAAGTAACCAAACCCAGCAAGTCACTGTGAACAACATATAAGGAAATGCCATTACAGGAATGCCCTTAGCTCTGTGTACTTGCACTGTGCCTATACTACAGTTAAGTGCTTTCCTATGAAAAATAAATTGAGCTGAGAAGTGTCAAAGATTTCAGTATTTCAGAAATGCATAGGAAAACTAGAGAAGTTGCATGCAAGTGAAGAAGAAAAGTCTGATTAAAAAATTCTGTTCCTGTTCATCCTTCTCTCCAGACAGCTCCATGGAAAGAAAAACCTTTTTTGGAAAAAAAGGAAAAAAAAAAAAAGGAAAAAAAAAAAAGACATACACATGTGCATGCACATTTACACACACCCATGCAAGTGTGTGCACACACACTTATACTGCAGGCTTATCAAACCAAGCAAAGTTACTTTTGCAGTGCTTACTAAAGCTGATGGTATTTGGTATTTTTCACAGCTCCAGTAACAGGATCTGTTTTAGAACTATAAAAAGAAGAAAAGATAGTAATTTACATTTTATTTTAGTCAGCATTATAATTATACCATGCATCCATCAATTCAAAGCAATTTCTGTCCAAAATCAAGGCTCCATTTTATGCTGTCTTTATTTGAAATGTCTGTATAAATTTCATTTAATTCTATGCAATTAGATATTATAAACACAGCTAGGATCACTTTAACTCATTGTATACCTGTAATTCCTCTAAGATTCTGTGAACTGACAGGTTTTTTTGGGTCTTGATTCTGTAAATAAGTATTTAATCTTGTAATTTTCTTGTGAAAAAGGTTTATAACCTGCTACTGAATATTAGGTACCAAAATACTCTTTACAATTACTTCAAAACTTGGACCGCGGCTGAATGAGGCTCTGAGCAACCTGGCCTAGTGAAAAGTGTCCCTGTCCAAGGCAGAGGTGTTGGACCTAGATGATCCTTAAGGCCCCTTGCATCTCAAACCACTCTATGATTTTGTGATCATATGATATGTGATATGATATGATATCCTCAATTAACACACACACAAACACACACACACACACGCATGCTTGTGGAAGGTCCTCCTTCCACAAGCTCTATGTCTTTTATTACTTCTTTAATATTTTTCTGATTAATATTTTTGATTGTCTGTATCTGAATTTTCCCATGTTATTGCTGTGCTCCACCTGCCATATCCAAACACCCACCATTGGGCAGTCCAAGAGTGGGAACTACTCTACAAGTAATATGCACATATCTAGGTGACATGAGTTAAGTTTCTGCTGCAGCAATTTATCAATTTCATACAAAGCAGAATGACTGCTGTGGGAGAAGCTACGAGAATACTTTCCAAGAAGCCTTCCCTGACACACTGGTTTTAGGCAGTTGTCTTCCAACTCCCGTAGGAAATCATGTCAAGACAGGATCTGCACTGACATATCCTATATTTCATTGGAGGGCTCTAGCCATTGGGATGTGAAATTGCCATTACTTCCTTGCTAAGCTTAAAGTGAAAAATGGACTGAACAGACTTGAGGAATCACCACCAGAGAGATATCATGGTTATGAATTACAGGAATGCACAAGACGCAGGGAGAACAAGAAACATCTTCCATAGGCCAGGTTCAGCCACTTACACCAGTAAGCACACAGAACACACTGGATTAGGTGCCTTCCCACTGAATCCACAGAGTTTTGCTTCTTAAACTCACGCCTCTGCCTACATTGTACATAGCAGCATTCTTCAGCCTTTTTTTTGTTAGAAGAAAGTATGTATCCTTTCAGTTTGAAAATGATACCGGGAATATCTTACTTGGTAAGCTAGATGGAACAATAAATAAAGCAGGAGGGATTTAAGTAAATTTAAAAAAACCCAAAACTTTAAGAAAATCAGTTTATTCTTATAATTGCAAACATTTTATTTAAACTGTTTTAATATGAATATCCTGTTACCACTGGTCACTCAACAATGCTAAGCGGTACTGACAAGTACTTGCTAAGGGGATTTGATTGACTGTGTTTTGTTTTTCTGTTTTAATTTGCAACTGCTTCATGGACCAGTGCACCACAATCAAGTTAGCAGCTGCATAGAAAAGTGGTGACGTAGCTCAAGGACGTGTCTGTAAAAAGGTGGCAGAAACTTAAATATAGGTATTAAACCTGAGTATCTAACCATCCTGTCATGCTAACTGGAAGTAATCTGTTGAAGAGAAAATCAATGGTAAAGCAGCTGCTGAAACCAGTCTTTCTAAGTGCCAAGCTCATGGCCTCAAGCTATCTTCTCTCTTACACTGCTCTATGCAAGGTGACATGCATTAACCCTTTAAAATCAGGGTTCCAGCAACAGACAGAGGTTTAAAAGAAGAGTTGTGAGATGATTTTATAGAAAGCTGCTTGTACATGGATCTCTACCTGCCACACTCACATACACCTACAAATTAGTTGCTGAGTTCTCCTAGTTTTCATTTGGTTTCAGCTTTTCTCCTTTTATCTCCCACAGCTGAGCACCTCCCCAGCCCACTCTGAGTCCCTTATTATGGGATACAGAGTATTTTGGTGGGCATAGGTGCAATTCATTTCTCTTCACATTTTTCTGTTCTATGAGAAACTGTTGGTATATTAAAACTTCTTGCCTTATGATGAGGAATAAGATAGGAATAGCAAGCTGATTTCCAGATGTCTAAAAGTGGGAAACATTAGCCTTTCCTCCCAGCTCATACCTGCCATTTCCCCACAGTCCTGTTCATCTCATCATCACAGACTGCTCAAACACTTCTGCCCTAACACAGCATTTTATTGCTTCCTTTCCTCCAGCAGCAAGACTACACCACAGACAACTGGCTGCCAGCTTATGTGGTGACCACACTATAAGCAGTTTTAAAGTGTATATAAGCAGTTATAAGTGTAAAAGGAAAGTTAGAGCTTGATTTCTGAGGACATGGAGGAGAGCAGCGGTTGGAACCCACGTTGTTATGAAATGAACTTACGCATTGAAGCGAGCCCGTACCACCACTCGGCAGAAGTTCCTGAATCTGTGCTCACGGCCAACTATGAAAAGGGGTTTATCAAAATATGGGTGATTCTCTCGCAGCTCCTCCTCCTGGACTTTCCTTTTGAAAAAAAGTAAATTATCAAGTGTTACACATTATCCCTGGCAAAAAATACCCCTTACACTTTGTACTCTTTTTCATGTTGACTCTTAATACTTTTAACTTCATACAGAGAATAGTTAATACAGAAAATGTGCGCTCAGACTTTTGATTTTTAAATACCTTTTCATTTCAGCTTGTTCCTTTTTTTCTTGGATCATCTTTATCTCACTGTCTTCCCTCTGTGCATTTCTGTATCTCACTGTGTTGGAGTGCTGGAAGCAAAATGATTCCTTTTAATCGAGGTCTAAGGGTTGTTATTTTTTAATGTTTCAGATGAAAGTAAGATATGGTATTTTACATAGAAATATTCAAATGAAAGATCTTTATTTCCAAATGTACTGCACATCAACTCATTCAAGCATATTGCATAGTATTTTCTATCTACAGCATAAGGCTCCTTATTTTCATCAAGGTTAATTTCAGTTCTAATTTCATGCTTGAGGCTCCATCCAATCTAACTTTTAACTTTAAAACCAGAGGTCCTGTAAGACCAGCCATCCTCTCTGAACCGCAGTGAATACAATCAAATTTACTAAGGGCAAAGACTGGGAAAGAAAAGGCTTTAGACACCCTTTCAGCTTCTCAAGTCTTCTATGGCTGCCAGACTGCGAGGCATGCAGATCATACAGTTAGTGACTGCTGAGTGCAGGGATGAAGGAGAGAGAGAGAGGGAGGGAGGGGAGATAGAAGGCAGGATGCTGTCTGAGCTCATGCAGAGGAGGGAACAATCAGCATTACTATTCTGAGTTATGTGAATCTTTGAAGCACTCCTGGTGGGGTAATGCTGGGTGATATCCTTACTGTTAGATACTAGCAAAGCCACATCTGCTTTAGTTACCTTTAAAGACTGAGATAGTTTGGAAATGAGGTGACTAATATGCATCTTGAAATTTCATTGCTACAGAGATCCACAAAATATCATATGAATTTGCAGAAATGAATACACTCTTAACTGCATGAAATTACACGACAGTGAAATCCATGATTACTATTCTCCCTTTTAGTCTTTGTCCCTTTGTATGACAGTTTTGCTGCTTGGAAAATATTGCTAAACTTCCATCAGAAATTTTGAAGTGCTGTTTTGCCAGCCTGAGTGATTTGTATAATTCCAGAGTAACGCTTTTTAAGGTGTCCTGGGCAGCAATTGTTGTGTTCCTAATGCAGTGTCTACAGATTCAGTGAATCTGTCTCAGCAAGTGTTCCAAAACCATAATTCTATCAATGAAACAACCATTTCAAATATTTTGAGGATAATTCTAATGCAGTTACAGCATTTGTCTTATGACTTCCTTTCAAGATTTCAAAAGACTAATTGCAAGCAAGCTCATAAATAGAATTAGTCTTCCACAAGCATTTATTTGATAGTATATATTCTAATTTCTTGTATTCTCAAGCTGAAACCAGCATTTCTATGAGGACTTACATCTTGAGTCAATGTTTCAAGAGATTTTCCTCTGCTGATTCGCTGGCTGTTCGAACCATGTCTCAGTGACCTGAAACAATCATAATCAATTTAACAATACATCTCAAGATGAAATTTTGACCTTTATGAGATGACCATTATAAAGCACTTTTCTCCAGCCACCCAATATCTCAAATTCTTATCATTTTTCTCTTGCTAACATCAGAAGCTTATATGCTCTTCAATTGTTTTCAATCTCGTATAACATAAGCCAATTTCTTTTCTTCTGATCTTTAAATTGATAGCTTTGTAGTCGGCAAAGGAAATGACATTTGAAATAAAAAGGCTCCATTTTTCCATTTATACAGTACAATGAATTTCATTATGGTTACAATGAAGAATGGTGAATTCAGTTCTTTGCACAAGGAGGTAGTTTTGGCTTTTCACATGTTAGGGATTGCTCAAATTTATTTCCTTTTGTTACCTTTATTTTAAGAATACTTTAAAACCATCCCTTCAGTCCATCTTTACCTGCGTTCTTGTCGTATATGATGCTGGACACTAAGTATTGACCTTTCCTTTGCTGGCTGCCCTTCAAATGATCCGCTCAGCATACGTTGTCTAGTGCAGGCCCTACAAAGAAATGTAAAGATGATGACACGGACTTTTCAGTATAAATGATAATTTCAGAGGTAGCACATTCAGAGAAATCAGCTTGGCTTCATGGGAAGCAAGTACTTCAAGAACAAAATAAAGTAACAGTGCAAGAGCAATGGATTTTCCATGAAAATATTCCCAAAGCAATGGACTCCCACTCTGCAACCCAACTGGTCATCTGATGAACCTTTTCCACACCTTAGCAAGGACCATCTATGAATTTTTTTCAGTTTGCTGTCGAATTTTTGGTCCCTCAAGACTTGACTAAGTGTGGAAGGGGTCAAGCAATGCACTGACCATCAGTAAAACCAGTTTCTCAACAATAAAGAAGGGACTGGAACAAGTACAGCAGCAATTTTAGTCCCTTTCAGGGCTATACGTACACACTTAGGACCTAGAACATAACTTGAGTGTTCAAAACAACTGGAACTCTATCTGATATGAAATGAAAAGCTGCACATTGTGATATTTTGCAATATGAAATGTCTGCTCTCCGGTAATGCAGTCAACTTACAGCATTTTGTTGTGTGGGTGTTCTCACTTGTTTGTTCATAATTAATTTTGGTTTTTGCTTAATTTTGGCAAACACATTTTACACATTTTGGCAGAAATGAGTATTTGTTGGCCAGTAAGTGTACCACAGCTAAACAGAGCATGCACAGCTTTATCTTGATGGCTACAATGAAATTAATTTGCTTAAAAAAGAGAGGTTTCCACTAAAAGAGCTCAGATAGATCCCTCTGATGGCTGAGAAAAGGAACTTCAACATTGGAAACATATTTTAACTTTCCAGAATTGTTCAATTTAAAGTTTACACTGTGTGTTCCTTATTGCTCATTTTGTATTATGAAACCATTTAGAGAAACACAAGACTCAGCTGGTAATATTCCATACTTTTTATTGAACTGAATCTTCACTTTTTTTTTCTGAAAAGATGAAAACAGCTCTACACCCTTTGTGTAACCACTCTATCTGCCAGTCTGTAAGGCTTAGATAAATGCCTTGACAGCATGGGATGATCATGCTTGATGTCAAAAGGTGTCCATGACATGTTCTTTTTCCACTGTGGTTTTGTTTTTCACTCTTCTCCACTTTTTCTCCTTCTTTTGGATTTAAACACATAAATGATACGAGTAGGAATCCAAAGTGATATCTGGAACAAAAATGAGAAGCTTAGAATGTTTGTCAGTGTCACCACTGCCAATCAGATTAGCATGCTAGAAAAATACGTTGTGCTACACTTGTTATAGAAAGCATTAGGTTACACTACACTGAACTAAAGTATCATGACATATAAGAAAATTACTGTATGTCTTATAAAACACAGCTCATCTTAGACAAATAATGAACATTTTAGTACCAAAGAATTTTAAGCGTTATATTGTGGAGGATGATACCACATGACACTGTCAGAAAACAACTGAGATATTTGAATACCTTTGCAATTTTTGATTGAATAAAAGAAAGAAAAATAATTATTTCCTAAAAATAGATCCTGTCTCACTCCATTAAAATGATGATCCAGTTTCTCCCAGCAGAGACAATGAAAAGTTCTGGGGTCTGACTTCTGTATAGAGGCTTCTTGGTGTGACAAAGAGGGTAACTTATCTCTTTTTTTTATCTTTTCTTGTAGATATAAATTATTATGCTCTGCTTCTAATAGCTAAAAATTATTTTCTTGACATCAAAACGTAACTTGTACATAAACTTTTCATGCTCTTGTACATAGCGACTTGAATTCCAAGTTACATAAAAACTGTTCATAATAAAAGTCAGCTTTAAATGCTTAAGTGATAAATTCTTTACCCAAATAATGAACAAGATGGCTTATTTGATTGTTAATAGTGTTGTGAAATAGACATGTACTGTAGGCATACTATGGCAGAATGGGAATGCATAAAAAGTAACACCTGTAGAAAGACTTAGTATTGTTTATGGTCTCTAAGTTCTGGAAGACCTGCAGCTCTTGTGAAGTCAACAGAGAAACAATGAAATACCAGTTGTTTAGCACAGAGATCAGAAATTTTTATCAAGCAATTGCAAAGAAACATTTCTGTATTTCCAGAGAAAAATAGATGTGCTGAAAAGGCCTTGTCTACTTTAGGCAGCTTCTCTCCTGGTATTCTCCACTTTATGGGAATTAGTGCCTTGAGAATTAATCTTCCTCGTATGAACTCTTAGTAAGAGCCACACTTAGTTATCCTTTTGACTCAGAATCTGGATATTTTTCAGCTGCCTTGACACGTCGAGTTGCAGATCTTTGAGGACCTTTGAAAAATATGGTAGGTGCCATGTATTTTTCAGACTTGCAGAGTTGCCAGTTTTAAAGTCTGCAATAGGGTTTGTGTTCTCATTGTAGACATGTACACGTGCATGCTTCCTCTCAGTGCCTGCCTGTGAGCCACTTGTGCAAAGTTTTAGCCAACTCATAGCTAGTGGAGGCATAGGACCCAATTAAACTGGCTGTACAGAGGTGGCCAGCACCACCTGCCATGCCTTGGAGTATTATGCTTTGCTTCCAGCTGCTGTTCCACCAGAGTGCAATATCCCTACAAGTTTGTATATTCCCTGCTATCTTCCAGAGGATGTTTTGGACATACTCTTTCATCTCACAAATTACTCTATGTCCATATGTGAACAACTTCATTGAATGCTTGGTCAATTATTTTAATTAAAGATGTTTGGAAGGTATTAAAGTAACCACAAATTGGGCATCTAAAGACAAAGCAGTCAGCTAAAGATCTCACTGGGCTCCATTACCTTTATTGGTTAGACTTTTGTCAACTAGGTGGTAGAGTTCATCCCTTAGCTTACAGGCAGATTTGGCTACCTGGAGTTGAATCCCACACCAGGCACAATCAACATGCCACAGTGTTAAGAATTCAGTTCTACGTGGTTTGAAAATTGGAGTTTTTAAAAAACACTTTTCTTGCCTTGATACATTTTTATGTAACTGTAGCTGGTCAGAATCTTTTGACCTTTCTTCAAACAATAGATACAAAATTTCCCTTTTTAGTTAAAATTGCTCTTTCCATCTTCCTATACCACATCGCTGAAATATTAGGTTTATTTTCACTAGTGGAGGAATAAGGAAGGTATGAAACAAAGGAGAAGAGACAAGAAACATGTCAGCCTTCTGGATTTTGTACTCACCTTGCAGAACTCTGAACACAGTTTAGCAGCTGCAAACCACACACTCCAAATTTGCCTTGAAAAATGCAAATGTAATAAAATAGCCTGAAAGAGAAAATGCAGTTTTTTAGGTAACCAGAAAGTCGGGTGAAGATCACACAGAACAAGACAATACTGGTATACTGTGTAGTTTGTATTACCTGCAACCAATTAGGAGGTCCACATTTTTGAAGTCTTTCAAACTATTTCATGCTTTGGAATTCCTGAAAAATTAGTCATGAACAGAGTGTTCAAGTACCATTATTTGACCAAATTTAAAATGTTAAAGTTTTTGATCAATAATTCAAAATACTATACCTTTCATGAGTATTCTGAGGTCTCTTGCAGGGGGCAAGCATGTGGCTCATGCTTTTCAGTCAGGCATCCTTTCTGCAAAATTGTTCACTCTTCTTGCATTCCAGTATAACACTGCTTTGTTTGTTTTTTTCTGTATTTTAATGAGTGAGTATTTATGTAGTAATTGTAGAAACTACATATATTACTATGTACTTTCGTTGTTCTCTCTTAAACATGCTCACATAGAAGCCTTAGTAGTCTGGTGAACTGCAGTGTGTTGAAGTCTAGAATACAGAATTTGTGCCCTTGTTTCTGATACTTAGTTATAAGATCTAAAAAAACACTGAATTTCATATAATATGAAATTCATGAGCATGTCTTCATGGTGAAACATGAAAACAAATGTTAAAGTTAGATAGAAAAAGCTAAAAGAGTAAGTGTGTAAATTAAAAAGTTTTTTTAATCACTGAGTGAAAAAGTTAGTTTAGAGAACAGGAGACATGATAGAAGATTTAGGGTGTTGTCCCTTGTCCCTTCTTCTTTCTTCTTCATGTTCTTTTCCTAGAGGTTTTTGGGTAATAGTAAGTGATTGGATAGAAAATGCCGCAGTGCATCACGGAGGTGATGGGTCATTGAGTCATTAAGAAAAATAATATACGTGTCTACTGTTAATTGGGTAAAAATAAGTATAAAAATAAAAGAACTGCGTAGTTCAGAGCCATTTTGTGCATCAGACACGAAGTGTGCCACAAGGCCTTGTCTGTACCATCAGAAGAAAGAAATGTACCAGATTGCAAAGATTAACCTTGTGTAACCAGCCTCGAGAGACCTGTTAAGTTTTGTGATCACCTGTTAATAAACACGAGAAACAAGATTTTAACGAACTCAAGAGTTTTCTTCGAATCAGAAGAACTGAGATAAGCAAGACTCCCCACGAGGGAAGATCCCAAAAAAATTCAGTCCAAAGGAGGCTGAAAAATCCAAGAATATAAAGAAAAATACAGAAGAGATGTAGCAGAAACAAAGAAACAGAAAAAGGACTTTTTAGAAAAAAGTTACACAGTGCAGTTATCAGCATCATTCAGCACTGTTTTCATTCTCTAGGACTCTCTATCCTTACTAAATCTTTCTATGTTCTCATTGTAATTCCAAATAACTTGGAGTATATGGTTAAATGTGACAGCCTAAGATTCATGGGGACTCCACCTGAGAGGCATTGTAGTGTTTCTTTCCTTCATTTTTAAATTTAATTTAGTAAGGTGCTTTTTAAAGAGCAAGCACAATGAACATTTTCACCACATCTACAGAACTGTTCTTTGTGGGAAAAAGATACTATTTTTAATAGAATTCTGAATATGGTAGGTGAAATAAAATGGATTATTAATACAACTTGGGAAAGTCAGTATTTATTCTTTTCTATGTTTTTTCTTGTTTCCTTTCTTATGTCTCTAAAGCAAAAAACCAAATAGTCACTTATTTTCTTTAGTGACTGCTCAGGCAGTTGAGCTATGGTAGGAGACCTTTTCTTCAGCAATTTTTATTGTGATTATCATTTTTGCCTTGCTGTTTCAGCTTCTCCTCTCACAGATGTTTATATAATAACAATTTTTATTGGACTGTAGAAGAATCAATAAAAGGAGCGCAGAAGAAGAAACCTCAAGTGGCTGTCCAGTCTACCACCTCTCTCAGAATGGGATCAATTCCATACCTGCAGTGCTGGAGACTCCACAGCCCAAAAACTCTGCTTCACAACTGTCCTTTGCAGTGATGCATAATGTGGTGTTCATTTGGCACAAACCCCATGAAACAGAGTAACTTATTTCCAATGGAAATGTGCATTCCAATCTTTCTTTTTGTTTGTCTTTGCATCAGGCAGGTGAAATCCAGCGATGCTGTACACTTGTAGAGATTTAGGAACACGGTGACTAAGTTTGGATTTTGCATGGAGTGACAACAATCATCAATGGAACTTACCTGGAACATTTGTTCTGAGAAATGCATGGGGTCAAACCCTCAAAGTTATGAAGAAAGAAATCACATTCTTAAGAGAGAAAACATAAAATATATGGCAAGAATTTTGTTGCGAGTCAGAATCAACTAATACAAGTCAGTTATTTAACAAAGACAAATTTCTAATAAAGGATACCAAAGGTGTATCTTCTAGGATCAGATAATCATAGAATCATTTAGGCTGTAAAAGATCTGTGCTCATTCTCTGTATTTGTGTTCAGGGAGATTTTATTTAGTGATAAACTTCATAGCTTTCCTAGAAATCACTATATTTTGCAGAAATACTTGTATGAACAAAGTCTGAATTATCTTCTAGCATATTAACAAACTAGAAAGGATACTTAATTCAAGCAATTCTTTCTCCCCTCTCTCCCTTCTCCATGCCTCTCCTGCCCCCAGCATTCTCAGTTTCAAACAAAAGATAAATGCACTTCATTCAGTTAGTTGTTTATGAAACTGAATATTCCACTTAAGCCTGAGTTATGTTACTCCCTCAGGACCAGGAAGCACATCGGACAAATCTTGTCTAGAACAGTGAAAATCCTATTGCACACCCCTGTTTAATCAGTTTATGGCTTTACTATAGCATCAGTTGTAATGGAAAGCAAATAAAAAGCTGCCCATTTGGAAAAAAAAAAAAAAGTTTCCCAAACAGTCACAATATATATTTTATATATATGTTCTAGAGTCTCCTTCCCTGGAGATATTCAAAAGGTGTCTGGATGCGGTTCTGGGCAACTTGTTCTGGGGTGGTCCTGCTTGAGTAGGAAGGTTGGCCCAGATATCCTTCAGAGGTCCCTTTGAACCTCAACCATTCTCTAATTCTGCAAAGCACAGTTTAATTCACACCAGAATCAGGTTTTGCACTATTGGCACTTTGATTGTATTCTGGACTATGTGAGTATGTGTAATTCTCATTTTCCCCACCATTCTGTGCTGTTTACAACTTATCCTCAGCACTGGAGAGAATGAACTGATTTCTACACAGCATTTTGACTGGACCTGCTCTATTCTCTCTACTTCAGAAAGCCAGTGGGACTAATAAAGGACTAGACCTCAGTCTTAGATAACAATTGAGCAAGGAATGAGGGTCAGAAGAACCACAGGCACAAAAATTGCTTTTAAGAGAAAAAGCAGTGTTTGCACCAACACAGAGTGAGAGAAAAGGGTGAAGCATTGAAGGTATGCAGGAAAAGTAAATTTGCTAGAAGTGGTTATTGCTGCTAAGGGAAATGCATTGCAATTTTCAGAAAGAAATGGAGCTGATTGCAATTCAGAGGCTCTATTAAAATGGATCTTGTTTTGAAAAAGTTTTTCTAAACATCTGTTAGTCACTTGTACTTTATTTAATTTTTCAAGGTTGAAGTCTCCACTTCAGAATGGGTTTATGGTGAAGAGTTAAGGCTTTCATGCTCTGGCCACTGGCATTGGTGATGCAAAGCACTGATCAAAGTACCAGAACAGTAGTTGCTACATCCTTGAGTTGGTTCCCATGCCTAATTGCACAAAGACCTCAAGGAGGCAAGGTAAAGGTTGGCTTCTAAACAAGGATGCTCAGAAATGAGACACTTCCCTAGGGGTGCGGCAAGAAAGCTGCAGAAAAACAAAGATACCCAAGACATCAGTTTTGCTGCACAATGTAACAGCAGATGAGCAGGTGGGACACCTGGGACTGAGTGCATGAACCATCTCTCTTGGTGTTCAAAGGCTATTACTGTCCTTCTGCCTCATCTTGGAGAAGAAGATGTCAAGCTGAAGTTCAGCATATAAAAGGGATAAATGAAGATTGGATAGAGAAGGATGCACAAGCGAAACATGAAGGCTATGTGTAATGCATGGTACTTCTATACAGTTGGCTGTATTGAAACATTCACAGTTTGATTAAAAAATAATTTGGCAAGGTTTTAGAAGTAGAGGGGGGGAGAAGATCAGAGGTGGACTTAGGCTGGAACTGACTTAAAATTCCCTTTCAGCACATCAATTTTATCAAGCTGAAGTTGCCCCTGGGCAGCTTTACATATAGAGGAATTCTTAATTCAGGTAGACAAAAATTTAAATTATGCTAGAAGCAATCTTTTCAGAAGGGAAATTCTGAGTTAACTCTTATTGTTCTTGGCAGAAATGACATTTCTTCTTTTGTCAGATAATCTGAATACTTGAGAATCACCTAGTTTTATAAAGGAGTTTACAGCATTTACAACTAAAGCAAAAATAAGAACTATAATCTCTCATGTGTTGAGAGTTTGAATTTTCCTGTGTTACTTAAACTGAAAATGAAATTTCAGCTGTAAATATTATCAGTTCTTTTCCTGTCTGTAAAATTCCCCTGCATCAACAGGGCTGTCACTGTCATTAACCTGGAAACACTGGCAGTGCTCAGGACCAGTCAGCTCATCACTGGCAATCTCTATCAGTTTGCCCACCAGATGCACCATGAACACAATCTTCTTATGCTGGAACAGATGAATTGCAAGTGTCATTAGATCAGAGCTTATTTAACAGTTTTGAGTCAATAACAAGGAACAATAAACAGTATTTGTTCTTTTTCTCAGAAGAGAGAAGATTCTTTGTAAGATTCTTTGTAAATCAGCCCAAGAAAGTGTTAGAGGACGTGATCCATGTTTTTCTTACTTGCTGCAAGTTCCCTCCTTTTCTCTGTGTTCCTCAAAATTTATTGCTGATGATCCAGGAAACAGATTGGAAAACTCAGTAAATGAAGATTAAATTAACAGAGTAAATAGATAATTAAAAACAAAACAGTAGATGAGTAAATGAAAACTTTATTATTCTGCCTCTGAAACTTCAGAGGAATTCAGGTGAATTGATAAGAAGTCCTTTTACATACATGACTTTGGCAGAAGTCATGATCTGAAGGACCAAGTGGAATTCAGCAGGATTGAAATTGGAAGGACTGATTTCTGATACTGTCCTTGCATCTCTGAGAACTTGGTGAAGTCCAAACAATTCTTTGCTTGGATTCTCCTCCCACTATTTCAGACTTCTCCTGAAAAGGAGAAAGTTCTGTGCTGATGGGGGAATTCTGAATTTCAATTTCCAGAATTTTAATTTTTCCTCCTATCTAAGAAAGAATGGAGCTTCTACAATATCAGTTTTTTTTCTTTTTTAAAAAAATTGGAATATATAAAACTAGGGTTTTTTTTTTCTTTTGTCTACATTTTCCTCATGCAGTATAGTATATGAAAAACACCAAACAAACTGACATTTGTGGAGCCCTGGAGGTGTCAATAACATTTCACTGTTCTTATATAACACAGAATTTCATTACAAATGTTTTACTGAAATACTGCCAGGATGCCTCTATCTAAACCTGTATTTTTAGAAGTATTTTGCTTATTCTACCTGTAAGAGTAATTCCTGTGAAATCAAGGCACACAGCTGAAAGAAATGCTTACAAATAGTGCACTAAATTTTGTTAAGATTGAATACTTATGATATTACATTTACTTTTATCGATAATATTTTTACAGTGAGTATTCATTTGAATTAGTAATTGTTTATGTTGTCATTACATGGGTTTAAAGAGAGAAAAAGTTTCATGTTAATTTCTACAGTTCTCCCTGTTCTGTATTCTTATAGAGCATTAAAAAGAACCAGAGCTGCAAGACTTCTCAAATGGTTTTCAAGAAACTTCATGATTCAGAAATCACACAGAACCCCTTGTGCACTGCTCCTCATAAAACATTGCCTTACTTAACCTGCACTTTTCACATCAGTATTCCTATTAATACAATGTATTTACCTGGCACCTCTCACTGACAAAACACAAGCATCAATATAAAAAACAGTGACCTATAAATAGTTTGCATTATTAATTCACCAACAGTGGCATGAAAAACTGAAGCACAGAGTTACCTAAATAACTTCAGAATTGGGTCTTGGAGACTTAGGCTTGCATTATTCGCTTATGGTGCTGCGTAGTTACTTGATATGGAATACAAAAAGGAGTGATCATTATTAAAACATTCAGAAAATGTTTCTACAGAAGCCATGGTTCTGAAATCTTCACTGTCCATTTGGTACTTGGAATATGACTAGCTGTAGTCTATGCTTTCTAGCCCACAATCCCTGCACACATTTATGTGCAGATATTTGCAAGAATCAGGTTAGAATTATTTAGGCAAAATAACAGACATGTTTTGGTTAATTCAGAAGGAAGAAGTGAAGAGAGCTAAAATATGATCTTACTGCATGATACAATTGAAATATATACTGAAGAAGTACAATTCCTTTCTTTTTGTTGTTCAAGCATATAAAATAGCCAAAGAGCAACTCACCTTTGATAATGAAGGCAATAGATGTACTACAAAGAGATCGACTATTATGAATATTATACATCCAGTAACATGCATGATAAACAAGGTTGTGAGAAATCAGATGACAGTCAAAACAGTATCAAATCACATCTGACTCTTACCTTAGAATTTTATTGATTGCTGTCTCTTTTTCCAGAAGGTTTCTTGCTCTGATGCTGAAAACAGATTTACGGAGCTATAAAATTAAGAAAAAGACATCATACTTTTTAATTGTCTTAAAATATAACATGTGTATGTGACAGAAGAATTAAATATAATGATGCTGAGTGCATAAAAAGGATGGTGGAAAGCAGTCAAAATGCTTATGTACATCTTTTGGCCTTCCAATCCCAATTGTTAGGTAGTTCTGTGTAGAAAGCAGATAGTTTTGCTTGCTAGCAGAAATTTGCTTTATTATACATTTCTTCTCCACTTGGCCAAATCATACTGTTTTGGTACTCCTTCTTCACTTTGGATTTTGACTAGGCTGGATCATACTCTGGAGATGCCTTGATTGTACAAAACAGCCAGCAAACAAAGCTCAGATGTCTAATTTCAATGTCTTTTTTTTTTTTTTTTCCCACAGATGCAGAGAAAAAAATGTGTTGAGCAAAATATGCTTATGCTTGCCTCTGGTCATGAACAGTGTTTCAGGAATCTTCTTGTGAACAGGACTTCCTGAACGTGAATAGAAAGGACTGAGATACATGAAGAAATAAGCAAGTGATTAACAAACATGACAAATCAAGGAGCAAACCACAGCTGAAGAATTTAGCTCAGGAATTGCATCTGTGATGAACAGAAAGCCTCTGGCACATCGTAAGATTTCAATCTGTCAACTGTTTAGAGATCATTATCATGAAGAAAATGGTTGAGAGAGATTTGGAAAGTCTTAGCAATCTGTGTCCTGGTTTTGATCAATCTGAAATTGAATCTTTAAGCATGTTTCTTTACATGTTCTTTAAATTTTCTAAAATACTAGCTCAAATCAAGAGTAATTTGACAAATAATTTTGCCAGAACTTCTCTGAAGACTCTTATTGACTCTGAGCTGCAGTAAGATCTTACTTTGTAGAGAAACAGAAGCCTAGAAAATACCTTAAAGACTCGCTGATTATACTGGCTGTACTTAATGAAATGGATACTGTTTTTTAAACCACTACTCTAACAGCAAACTACAACCTCTTTCCTACCCTTTGCCTTTACAAGTGTGGCCCCTTTAACCTTTCTTGTGTCCTAGCTCTTCTCTGTACAGCCTGGAGAAGTAATAACACAGATGATTGGAAAACACCCCTATTTTGAGAATCTGTGGGTTCCTTAATAAACCGGGAACTTGAAAATGGAAATGAAGTATGCACCACTTCAGAATGTAGTTTGGAAAATAAGGTATTGGAATTTCAGTTAAGATTACAGAAAGAGTAATAAACTTGTTGAATATTTGAATATAAACAATAAAAATTTCCATTGCCTGGATATGGTTAACACAAAACTGAAATGAAAATCCTAGTATGAGATATACCTGTTGAGGAATACATCCAGTGCAGGCTGGGTGTGCAGCTGCAGTTTGAGCTGCAGATTGAACTCTGGGGGTGCAAGAGCCTGAGCCCAAGGCAAGAGGCTGTGAACTGATGACCCTTTGCCTAACAAAGGCCACAGGGACCTATGGCACTCAAAGACATGGCAGGAGCTGATGACCCCAGACTTTTTCTTGCTTGGACTGTGATGGTATAAATGCCTGGGGTGCCTTTGCTTGGGGTGTCTCCTTGAAGGCACCCAGCTCAAGCTGCTATTTTATTATTCAGTTATTGTACCAAGATTAAATAATTTTAAGGATCTGGGTGTCTGGGACTCTGCTCTGGGAAATGTGGGGTCAAGCTGGTGAGGAAACCTGGTGTGACTGTGTGAGTGTGGGGTGTGTAGCTGGGGATGGGACTTGGCACCAGATGCCAGAGTGACTGCCGAAGGGGCTCCTGGATGATCATACAGATAAGTAATACACCATTATAATAAATATTCTGTCGGTACAAATATGTCATATATTGAAACACATTTGTGTAGATTTTAACTAATTTTCAGTATCTTGACACAGGTTTAGTGAATTTATCAGCATTGTACTTAATTATGGATTTAGATACATCTGATATAATGCTGAAAGCAATGGCAACTCTTTCACATATTTTCTTTTTCTAATGTCAGTGAAATTAATGTCAGTGAATGCTGTGTAACCTTTTTTCCCTTAGCAGAATTGTAGAAAGAAGCCTCTAAATTACGGGAGCACCTGTTTTAAAATATGTTCATTAATATTTTTTTAGGGCTCAAACTTATGGAAGTAATGAGGGTGGAAAACCAGAAGTTTTGTCTCAGTTATTTTTTCCTGTTATAAATAAATGCTTTAGAATAATTGCAACTACATGAAGTAGTTCTACATCAGTGAAAAAAAGCATGCTACCTAGTAATGTGTTACGTCCATTATTATGGACATATTTCTAGTAACAATTTTTGTTGACTTCTTAGAAATTGAAGATATTTCAAACATAGGAAGCATTAATTTTCTATCAATTTTCTAGTTTTTGCCCATCTGATTTCAGTAAAAAAAGCTGAGTCATATAATTTTTTCTTGAAACTTTTCTACAGCTCCTTATCTGTCATAGACCACTACTTTCCAGTGTTTTAATTAGGTGACAGAACACCTTGGCCTTAAAGGTTGTGGCCCAAACAAGGAAATTCACCCAGGTCGTCAGCAAGTGAATGTGCCCTGGGAAAGCAGAAATGAGGAGTCTGTACTTCCAAAGACTCCAGAAGGACATTGAGATGTCACTTAGTGCTTCCACAATCCAAATGTTAAACTTCCTATTGCCAGCAAGAAGAACATCTAAAGAAAAGGTGCTGGCAGGTCTAGGACATGGGCTACTTACACAATAAGTTTGCAACCCACACCAGGGACTGCTGAACCCTTGCTCTAGGCAGCAAGACTAACAAAATAGACAGTGCTGTATGTTTTGCATAAAAACACTGCTAAATCCCTATGCCACCCCAGCTGGAAATGGTTTGACCCCCTGTGCTTGAGGCCTTCAATGAGCACCGTAGTTGTCTGCTGGAGATGTGCAAGAGCAGTGCTGTATTATGATATTTGCCTGTCACACAGCCAGAGGTGCAGCAGCTGGAGAGATGAAGGGAAGCAGTAGGAAGGAGTGCATGTTTGGAGCCACTGAGTTGGGAGAGAAAAGACTGGGTTCTGTTTGCATTTTCAAAGCTGTTCATGAATTTTATTTAGTGATGTTTGAACAAATAAATAATAGAATTACAAAATCACAGAATCAGATGAGTTGGAAGGGATTCAAAGGATCATGAAGTCCAACTCCTGCCCCTGCAAAGGATACCTGAAGAGTCACACCATTTACCTGAGAGTGTTGTCCTAACACGAACTCTGTCAGGTTGGTGCTGTGACCCCTTCCTTGGGGAGCCTGTTCCAGTGACCAATCACCCTCTTTTCTAATATCCAACCTAAATCTCCACAACTAATATATTTTTCTAATATCCAACCTAAATCTCTGACACAACTGCAGGCCATTCTTTCGGTCCTGTCATTGGTCACCAGAGAGAAGAGACCAGTGCCTGCCCCTACTCTTCCCCTCAGGAGGAAGCTGTAGACTGTGATGAGGTTTCCTCTGACTCTCTTCTCCAGGAAGAAGAGATCAAGTGACCCCAGCTGCTGCTCATATGGCTTCCCCTCCATGCCTAAGAAGTCATAGGAATAGAGAAAGGTATGAGAACAGGGTGTTGCATCACATTATTAGTGTAGAGTGCATTTACTTTTCCTTCACTTTTTTTAGGACTAGCTGTGAAACTTGCAGCTGAGACAGGACATCCTTGGGCACTGCCCTTGGCCTAAGCGCACTCAATGGACTGCAGCTTAGGCGAAGTTTTGAAGTTTTTTTTTACAATCCTGTCTGTGTCTGGACTGTGATGGAATTTAGATTGGAGTCAGGTATCCATTCTTTAATCCAGAATACATAGGCATATACAAGATCCTAGAGTTCGGTGCCTAGAGAACTCAGTGGTCCAAAATGGAATTCACAAAACAACCTGGCACTTCCAAGGATTATGGCTTTTGAAGACAATGGTCCTCCTTCCTCTTTAGGAATCAGGAGCCATTCTTTCAGAAGAACACTGGTGAATTTATCTTGAGTCAAAAATATCCAGAAGAAGCAATGCAAGAAAATATTTTTAGATAAGCACAACTGATCTATTTCTCATATTCAAAGGAGTCAGCAGTCAGTCAAATAGCAACACACATATGTCAATATGCATGCTGAAGAAAATCAAATATTACTAATGTTTTTTAAATTATGCATCCTTATTTCTATATTAGATAAATGAAATAAACTACTTCCCATTTAATTTTACAAATTTGCATAGCACACCAGGCAAATGCAATGGGACTGTACAAACAGAAAATGGGGGTGATGATCAGTATTTTGTTTAATAATGTCTAGATGCCTCATGCTGGTGCAGAATGAGGCTGGCAATTAAAACTTGTGATACCTGCCGAGTTCTGGTATGTTGCAGAGGAAATTATAAACAGTGCTAACATACAAAATACATTACTCAATCAGACAATATGAAATTAAATAAGTACAGTACACTCTGCTGATGTTATTTTAGGGTATATCTGTTTAGCCTGCTGGGTTTTTTTATTACAGATTGTGCTGTACTGCGAGGACACCCTCAGTGTACCTTTATTAGCTTTTATTTATTTATTTATTTATTTATTTACTTCTCTATACCACCTATAAGTACACTTCATGCAGAAACCACAGTGCCATATAGCTTTCTGCTAAAGAACATTATTTTTTAGCACTTGACACTGTCTTAAAATCACATAACAGCATCTGATTACTATAAAATACGTTTTCAGCAACACACTTTAGAGAACTATTGCATGTTACTTTAAACTGCAATGACCTGCTGTGGCAGGTCAGGAAATTCCCAATAGTATTTCCTGGATGAAAAAGCTTTAGATAAATATAATGTGCTGCTACTATACCATGAATAAAGCTTGTGTCTTGGTTCTCATATTTCTTTGAGTTTATTTACACAGACATGACCACAGAATTAGGAAATCTGCAGGTAGTGCTTCTTTTCCAAAAGTGCTGACAACCTTTTCTGCTGCTGTTGGCAGGACAGACTTTAGGCA